ATTTCAGTGTTAAGAGTGTCAAGGGCAATTTAAATTATATTTCCCGCCTTAGAAATCATGTTCAGATTACGTCATACGTCATTGTAATGAGCGCACATTTCAATAGGTGATAGGCAAGGCTGCTGGTTGATTTTTTTTCTCGAAAGTCTTTGTGATCGTGTTAATGACACGTGTACGTAACAACAAGCCAGAAAACATATTGTATGTTTGCCGCTACCAACCAAAATGATGCGTTACATCACATGATCAAGCTGTCAGCTAAGAATTTTAAACGTTAGAAATAAGTGAATGTCAGACGTGTACTTCTTTCTTGTTTACTGTCGTCAAGTTGTGAACAGAGTGCAAATGATCTCCAAATAATTTATCTTCAATGACGTTTGAACGAAGAGATTGTTTTGTTTCTAATTACTAGCCCGGTAGGTTTTCCCGGCCAAGTTCACTATTTACCAATTCAATTTATTGTTCGTGCTAATAATGTAGCCCAGCTCAGCTATTCGATAGTTCAAATTCGACCACGTTAATGAAACTTACCGCTGATTAAAACTTTGCCGTCAACATTCGCTACCATGCCAACCTCAAAAAAAGGTTTTCATGTAAATTACCAACAAATTTACAACCAATGCGAAGTATTATGCAGCGAAGCCCCTGATATTCTAGAACGTAAAATTATCATGAGACTCATTCATATTCATGTACAAATGTATTATGCACGCTTTTCGTCAAGCGTTCGTTCAATTTAGCCTGACATGACCACGCAATCATGTACTAATTCCATTTGTAAATTCAAATTCATTAAAGGAGCAACCAATTTAGCATTTCGTAAATTCAATGAGTCTATTTTTTTCGAATAATTCCCTTAAAAAATTCAAAGTGTGTTTCGCAAATAAGTGTTATAATATTGACCATAATTAATATGGACTTGTTCATATTTCCATAGACTTTAAAAGAAAATGGAATTGGCTATACGAATTAGAAGTATGAGTATATGGGGAGGGGGAGAATTTGAATGATAACAGTGCAAAATTACGTGCCTGATACGCTAAATTGAATGTTAATCTGCGCCAAATATGAAATATGCGCTAAGTTGAATAAGCGCTTTATCTGCGAAATTGCCCATTAAAATAAATCAAAAAGTTTACTGCACTTTTCAGGGTCAAGATTAACGCTCCTTATGATTACAAAACGTCATGTACTTAAGGCGATCCATAAAAAAAAGGTTGGATTCCCTTTTTTTTTGTGGTCGTACATTACAATTATTAGAGACATGCCAGTTACATTTCAAAGTGGGAGGGTCGACTGCGCCCCCCTGAATTTCGACTGCGATATACATACCAAACTTCTCGCAGATGAATCCATGTGTTCCGTCACATCGATCCTCCTTCCAGGATGTGTAGTTATCGTAGCTCTGGATCTGAACGCACCCGGATCCATTCTGGACGTTGACTAGGTTGGAATAGTTTAGAGCGGCTCTGCTCATCCAGGAAAATTCTCTCTTGTTTCTACTCCAGTTTCCATGGCGGGCCATGCCAATCCAGTAGCTCACATTACCTTAGATGTACAGGTGGTTAACGCAAGATGTGAAAAATCAGTTGACAGGCCTATTTAGTGGAAATTTATTTAATTACCTTGAACCAAGATGTATTTAGCGCTTCCAGCTTAAATAAATGGGGATGACAAATTAGGTGATGCATATTTAAAACGAAACGGTGCTGTGCAATTAGGGTGTGAATCAATACGCTACAGACTAATACAAATTAATTAAAACATTAACGGAAATAATAAATACAGGAATCACGTTAACAGGAATAACGTTGACGCAACAAAAGAAACACTTTTCGTCAAGTCGACCAGTGAAGGATTAAAGCTAAGATCCAATAAATTGTCAGCTGCGATTCATTGGAAAGAGGAGTCAAGTAGGCAAACCGAGGTCCCATATCTCGTCATCCGACTTAATTAACAAGAGAAAACGAGAAACCGAGATGAGGAAACGTGAAGCTGAGATCCAAGATCTCGTCATCCTGCCTTCATCAAGACGAGGAAACGAGAAATCGAGATCTCAGATCTCGTCAACCCGTCTTAATCAAGACGAGGACTCGAGAAATTGAGATCCGAGATCGTTTTCATCAACCCGTCTTGATCGACACTATAAAAAGGGAAGCCGAGATCCCAGATCTCGTCAACCTGACTTTATTAAGACGAGGAAACGAGAACCCGAGATCCAAAATCTCGTCAACCCGACTTAATCAAGACGAGGACTCTAGAAATTGAGATCCGAGATCGTTCTCATCAACCCGTCTTGATCGACACTATAAAAAGGGAAGCCGAGATCCCAGATCTCGTCAACCTGACTTTATTAAGACGAGGAAACGAGAACCCGAGATCCAAAATCTCGTCAACCCGACTTAATCAAGACGAGGACTGGAGAAATTGAGATCCGAGATCGTTCTCATCAACCCGTCTTGATCGACACTATAAAAAGGGAAGCCGAGATCCCAGATCTCGTCAACCTGACTTTATTAAGACGAGGAAACGAGAACCCGAGATCCAAAATCTCGTCAACCCGACTTAATCGAGACAAAGAAAACAGGAAGCCCAGATCACAGGCTGGGCGTTATGGCATGCGGCTGTAATCCAGCTAACAATGAAAGTTACAAACTGATTCAGCCAAGGACGAAGGTTTGAAACCGAGTCACGTCTTTCGGATGGTGACGTTAAAGGCCGGTCCCAGACGTAAATAATCATATCTGATTGAAACACGTCTGTAAAAAAGCAATTACACACACACACACACACGCACACCGACACCAGATCTCGTCATTCAACTTAATCAAGACGAGGGAATTATAAAGCCGAGATCCCAGATCTCGACAACCTGACTTTATTAAGTCGAGGAAACGAGAACCCAAGATCCAAAATCTCGTCAACCCGACTTAATCGAGACGAAGAAAGCGGGAAGCTCAGATCTCAGATCTCGTCAACCTGACTTTATTAAGACAAGGAAACGAGAACCCGAGATCCAAAATCTCGTCAATCTGACTTAATCGAGACGAAGAAAGCGGGAAGCTCAGATCTCAGATCTCGTCAACCTGAATTTATTAAGACGAGGAAATGAAAGGCGGAGGTCCCAGATCTCGTCGGCCCGACTTTATGATCGAGACGTAGAAAAAGTAAAGCCGAGTTTCCGAGATCTCGTCAACCTGACTCAGGAAGAGGAAACAAAAACCCAAGATCCGAGAATATTGGGGGAGAAGTCAAGATAATCATTTCGATGGGATGCGAGTCAAGATTCTAGATCGGAGAGGAGAAAAGAAAAAAAAAAACCTCGTCAACACACTTTCATTGAGACAACGCACAAGAGGCTTAATTACCACGAGGAAACGAGAAACCGAGACGAGGAAACGTGAAGCCGAGATCCAGATCTCGTCATCTTGACTTATTCAAGACGGAGAAAACGGGAAGCTCAGATCTCAAATCTCGTCAACCCGTCTTAATCCAGACGAGGAAACGAGAAATTAAGATATGAGATCTCATCAACCCGTCGTAATCGAGACTAGAAAATGGGAAGCCGCGATCCCAGATCTCGTCAACCTGACTTTATTAAGACGAGGAAGCGAGAACCCGAGATCCTAAATCTCGTCAACCCGTCCTAATCGAGACGAAGAAAACGGGAAGCTCAAATTCCAGATCTCGCCATCCAACTTAATCAAGACGAGAAAACCTTAAAGCCGAATCCCAGATATTTCGTCAACCTGTCTTAGTCGAGACGAAGAAACGAGAAACCGAGATCCCATATCTTGAAAAACTCGACTTAATCAAGATGAGAAAACGAAAAGCGGAGGTCCCAGATCTCGTCAACCCGACTTTATAATCGACACGAAGAAAACGTAAAGCCGAGATCCGAGATCTCGTCAACCTGACTTCATTAGGAAGAGGAAACGAAAAACGATCCAATATTTCGTCAATATGAATTCCTCTTGACAGAAGTCTGTTTATTTAATTTTTATCAGTAAAATATTTTGCACATCGGCATTTGGCCGTGATTATTTTTTAAAATAATTATTGATAAATCATTTTATTTCACTTCAATTCTTTTCAATATAATACAAATAAAGATGCTGCAGTATTTACCACGAGTGAAATTAAAGAGAAAACTGTTCTCTTCTGCTGTCTCAATAAAGACTAGATGCGCACCCCTTTGCTCGCAAAAGTCCTTAGCTTCGTCTCGAGTCCCGTTAGTTCCGTTGCTCGTGAAATAACAGGATGAATTGAATGTTGTTTTCACATCGATACAAACAGAATCTGTGATTAAAAAGAAGAAAACAATTAAATCCGACACAGTACAGTGGTGTTGGTCTACGTGATTCGTTTCAGATTTGACTGAAGATATCACGGTCCTTCTCTAGATTAGAATTTAGAGTTTATTTTATCTTATTATAAGACGTTGGCATTATAGAAGACATTACTGTGAGGGTCGTTGAGATATTCATAACGAATCGGAGAGAACTATTTTAAGGTATAGTTTCATGCCTCTGGAGAGCAAATATAAATCTCTTTGGAATCCAGAACAAAAATATCACGATGAAGCTCAACCTTATATGTGAAATATATGTGAAATATAAGAATGAAGAAATATGTTCAAGTATGAAATAATAATTGAAATTTAAGAGCAGAGCACACTTTTGAAAATATTCCGTTGTAGTGTAGTATAGCGATTTCTTTGAGGGACTGCGCGCTTCATAAAAATATAACCCCTTTTGAAAATATAATCCCCTTTGTTGGTCCTTAAAAAAAATATATTACTCACATTATACTAGAATTATACAAGAATACTATTGCCTGGGGTGATATTCAAACTGTGCTATAATCCGCATGAGACGAAGTCTAGAGGGCATACATTACTACAGTATTTAGATACCACAACTTCTTAAAACAAAACAGAAATAAAACAAAATCTAATGTAGGGGTAGGAATATGGCAAATAAAAGGTGATGCGCGGAGTTTTACCGACCTGCGATTTTCCCTTCGCAGAGGAATTGGGAGGTATGATTGCAGTTAGTCTCGTGCCAGTGGTTCCACGGAGGTATGGTTCGTACACAGTCTGAAATTACAGTATCTCTTTGCGTTTGACGAATGGACCAAACGGTTAAGTTCAAGGGTGAACCATCCATCCAACGTAAAGTATGATTTCGCTGCTCCAACCCAATCCAGTAGTTGTGCGTCTTGTTCTCAGCGAGCGCCAGGGATCGAATGACTGCGTCTTTTTCTGATGACGTAATCTCAATCAGGCGAGAATTAAGACCAGCGCATCTGCTTCGGGCATCGTCACGTGACACTGTGGCCGTTGAACTGATGTGGTAACAGACCTGGCCCCTGCGCTGGAATCCAGTTGGACATTCCGTGTCTGTAAACATAGCAAACAAACAACGAAATACACAAACAAACAAAAATCAAACAACCAAACACACATTCAAACTCCGGTGGTGTCACCTTGTATTCAAACGTGTAACAGATGACCGATAGCGGAGTCGAACATGACCCCTAGTGGCATACTTTCAAGAAGACTTTCCTCAAAATATGACCCCCCCCCCCTTTCACCTAAAACTGGTAACTACTTTCGGAAAATAAACCCAAGACAATTTCAACACCCTTGTGCGTCACATATTGACAGGGGCGTACGCAGGATTTTTTTCAAGAGGGGGGGGGGGGGGGGGGGGGTTAACATTTTAAATCGGGCCGAAAATTTCGCAGCGACTCAGCCAGCTGCTGAATAAGCGGGGGGGGGGGGGGTAAGAGGACCCCCCTCTTTTTTTTGGGGGGGGTCTCGAAATTTAAAAAAAATATCACAAGGGGGGGGGGGGGGGTTTGCTCCAAAATACACACATACAAAAAAACTGAAGGGGGGTTCAACCCCCCCCCCCCCTCCTGCGTACGCGCCTGCCTATTGATATGTGCGAACATGACAATAACGTATTACGAAATCCAAACATGATTTCTTTTGGACATACAACCGAGTATCGAAATTGATAATTAAGTTTATTTTTCGTTATTTCATGTTAATTTCATATTTTAGTAACATTGTAAAAATATGACCCATTTTCGTGAAATCTCTCGCTCATAAAAACAACACACACCTCCCACGTCTAACCTCCATGATAGGGAACTATCTTTGGAGCTTCAAGGAATGCCTGACCAACCAGAAGTAACTTCCGGTGACGAAACTTTCCCTCTCAAGTAGCTATGCCACACATGATAATGCACACGCTCCACTCCCTTGGGAGTATTGCGGCCTGGTGCCATTTTACAAGCGCACACGCGCCAATCCAACCATACTAACGTTCGTATCCTACCTTGTTACCATTTTGAGACCTGGGTGGAGAGTGGCAAAATAATCTAAATGTCTTGACAAAGGACACTAGTGTCGTGCCGAACCCACTACCTTGAATTTCGTATTTCCAGCCTTGTGTTAAAACCACTCGACTACGATCGACACCTCTACGCTTCGATAAAAAAAAAATCTTTCTGAAAAGTGGGAGGATTGAAACAAAATGATGACAATGTTCGTGTACCCTACTCTCTTTGAGAAAGGTAACTTCTGCGTGTATTGACACAATGGTTGAATGGCGTAAAGTGCTCCTGCCACTACAGGGGCACATGTACCAAGGGGTGGGAGACACCGGTCGTGCTAGGTAAATAAAAAGCGAACGAACGAGACTAACGATTAAGGGTGGGTGTGACAGGAGATTCAATCACCTTCCTTTTATCGTCCTCAATAATAACAATCTGGATGTATGCAATGTGCACCATCTCCACTCCCTGGAGAGCATTCCTACCATATGGTCACCATGAGGGCATAGGCAATTACTAACACAAATACTTTCGTCATCCTACCGGGTCCCCGTTTTTCTCTTGGTTATTGAGTGGCAAAATATGTAAGTTAAAGCCTTGCCAAAGGACATTAGTGCCGTGTCGGGTATGGAACCACGATCTTTGAATTTCAAGTCATTCCACTCGACTACAACACTCCTGTCTTTTCCGCTTTCCCTCCTTTCCTCTCTGTCCCCCTTCTGTTTACAATTCGATTGGGGTAGGCTACACCCCTAGCCCCCATGATTCTACGCAGGCGCATACGCAGGGGGGGGGGGTAACCCCCCCCCCTTGAGTTTTTGTTTATGTGTATGTTTTTTGGGAACCCCCCTTTTAGAGTTTTATTTTTTAAATTTTTGTTTAAATAAAAATTAAAAAAAAAAAAAAAAAAATTATGCCAATGGCTGACCTAAAAAAGATGACCTTACCCCCCCCCAACGAAACAAAACGTCGAGTTTTCAAATTTCGAGACCCCCCCTCGCTTATTAAGCGGCTGGCTGAGTCATTACCATTTTTTTTTGGCACTCCAAAAAAAAAAAGTATCCGCTTACCCCCCCCCCCCCCCTTGAAAAAAATCCTGCGTACGCCACTGATTCTACGCCACTGTATAACATCTATCTCCCAGACTTCCACTCGGTTTGCTACAAAAGTAGGAAGACTCTCTCGGTCTATAATTATATAATTACATTAGAAGGAGCTAGAGGAAAGCGAAGCCTATTAGGAGGGGCCCTGTACAAATATAAAGAAATAAACGAACATACATGACATTTGAATAAAATGAATCAACAGGCAGAAACTGTAAGTCGTATGTAACCAACATCCAAAAGTCATTTATAATGATAATATTAATGATAATTAGTTCTTATAAAGCGCATTTAATTACCGAATGTAATGCCAATGCGCTTTACAAACATTTCAAAATCATGATACGAATGCAGAAGACAATAGTAATAAAGACATATATAGAAATAATTACATAAATTATATATATTCATAAATTACAATTAATAATGCGTAACATTTCACCTAGATGGTGCTCAAGACGCTTTAAAAACATAGGTCAAATGCAATAACAAAAAAGAATACTCTGAAAGTGCTTACAATGCAACAGAACAAAAGAGGGGATAACATTAGATGTGTTTTTCGATTTATCTTAAATTGATCTACAGTTTTACAGTCTTTCTTTGATTTCTGGAGTCTGTTCCAGGACCGGGAAGCTGTTGACTTGATCTTCCCCCTGATGTTTAGTTTTTGGCACAATTAGAATTGGAATCAGTAAAAAAGTGTATTTAAATAATTAGTCGATTAATCAAACGTTTCATCAATCAATCAATAAAATAAATCGTAAAGAAGTAAATTTCAAGTTACCTTCCGGTAATCTATGATCTCGCCATACGTACTGCTGTGTTGTGATTGAGGTCAAGAGCAGGAGGCATAGCTAAAGAGAGACAATAATAAAAGATAATATCAGGTGATCTGGACAGAAGAAAGAAAGGAAAGAAATTGAGAGAGAAAAATTGGAAGAAAGAATGAGATAGGAGAAAGATTTAAGGGCTAAGTGAGATGGGAAACGTTATGGGATGAAGTTAATTTTTAGGCATTTTATTGGTTCTTAAAGATACTATGTCCCTTTTGCAGCCAACATCAAATTCTGTAGAACTTTGCAGGAATTATGAATATGTCATATATGTCCTATCTGTGGAATTTGAACGTTAGCAGTGTCCTAATAATTATTCAAATTAAGCAAGGAAATCTTTTTTCTTGCTAGACTTCACTATCAGACACTATTGAGTGACTGACTGGCTTTTTTCTTCTTTGGTAATAACATACATTAAATGAGCTGTAAAGGGTCCATGCGCATTTGTCTACATCAATAACCCACTTCTTGTAATGGCCAAAATTAAACTGATTAAATCTTTGCGCAGCATAAAACGTAATAATAATAATAATAATAATATTAAAACGTACGACCATTCGGTACAATGGTGTGAAAATCAGACTATTACTTACTGGCTCAGTGGCGTAGACAGGTTCGTACACCTGGGGGGGATGATTCAGGGGCGGATCTAGCTTTTTGCTAAGGGGGGGTTGACCTAAATAATGACGATGCGGAGCATCGTCCACGAGCCGCGAAGCGGCGAGCCGATTTTTTTTGGGGTGTATATTTGAACCCCGTAAGTGATGTTTTCCTGGCATCTATTAACACAATGGAGACCATAAAAAGCAGTGCATGATAACGTCTTTTTAAATCAAGTAACAGTTAAATACACAGTTATATCCAGAGTTATCATGTGTTTGGTTAAGTTACCAGATGAGTTGAATATCTTCTCACAATATTTGCACTTGAAAGGGTTTCTCTCCAGCGTGCGTTCTTTTTTCTTTCTTTTTTCCTTTTTTTTTCTTCTTTTTTTCCCCTTTTTTTTTGGGAGGGGGGGGGGGGCGCCCAAGGGGGGTTTAAACCCCCTAACCCCCCCCCCCGTAGATCCGCGCCTGTTTAATATTGTGGTTATCTTGTGGTTTCCAAATCACAAGATAACCACAAAATACTTGTAAGATTTTCTTTTTTTACCGTCTGAATTGGCTTTCACCGTGTGAATGCGGCTAATAACAATAAACACAATTACAATAATGATGAGGATTATTATTATCATCATCATAATTATTATTATTATTAATATTATAATTGTTATCATTATTATTATTACTATTATTATCATCATTATGACTTATTAAGTAAGCAAATATCATTCCCCAAAACCTGGGGGGATGATTGTACATGCCATCCCCCCCACCTTGTGAGGTGGGGGGGATGCATCCCCCTCATCCCCCCCCCCCCCCGTTGTCTACGCCCCTGTACTGGCTCTATAGCTCTTAGGTCGATTCGACAACTAATAGTCGTTATTTTCCCACTTAAAGACATTTTCAAGCCACCTTTTTTTTAGGGAAGTTCTAAATTAGTACTATCTTTCAAATGCCGTTGAAGTTTAACTTTTTCATTTTTTTGGCCTGCAAATGGGACATAGTACCTTTAAAAGCGATACTGAACTGATGAACTTCTGCCCTAGCGTTCTAGTTATTGCACAGCACAACTTCATGGTCAACTTGCCAACAGTGTGTAGCTCAATGCCCGATTCCAATTTCGCAGGCTGAGAAATCGTTGCGAGAACAGTGCAAATAGGGAAGCAGCGAGTTCCGGGGCCATTTTGCAATGATTTCACACAAAAAATGGTACAACCATACGTTTTATGACAGTTAGTATCACATATCACTCTGTTTGCAAAGAGTGAGTTGAAAAGATTGAATTAAAAAAAGAGTAAGAATAGGCCTCCGCTTGTAAGTTATAGGCCCCCCAAATAGAAAGTTAATTTTATAATCTATCTACACAATCTCTATATAATTATGTCACATAGCCGGTAGGGTACGTGACAATGAAATGGACCTTGATGCACAGGTTCTCCATTTTATAATAGCCTGTAAACATCCATGATTACAGCAAATTGAACATATATAACCCTACTTCTATTTTAACTTATTAATTGTGTACATGTCTGTAGGGGACCCCACTGCAAATAAGCTATCTATCTATAGTGTATAATGTTATATAATGAGTAAAATGAACGTTCATCACAGTAATAGAATTTGCATTCGAAAAAATGGCAATGGATGCTAGCGTCATTTTTATTCTTATAATGTAACAAATGACAATATTTGAATAAATTTGCATATTATACCTATTCGGGTATTCGGGGGTAAAGAATCAAGCGAACTCTGCCATTTTTAGTCTCTATTTTACCTCTGTGACCCGTAACCACTTCTTTTACTGGAGCGAATTCCAAACGTTGCCGCCTGACTCATTTAATACAGGTTCACCCAAGTTCTGTCCCATGAAACCTACCCTTCGTTATTTGAACTGGGGGGGGGGGGGGGGGGGTGGGGGGTTCACAAAGATCCTAAATCAAACTTAACTCTAAGTAGGACATACAAATTATTTACCAAGAGCCATTTGTAGCCTTAAAATAAAATATATTCAAAAGCGAAAATTCAAGTATTTTAGACTTTTCAGATTTAAATTCCACACCGAGAATATGAAGTCTCCTTGATAATAGAAAATATAAATGATTTGTATCAACATTGTATGCCTTTTAAAATAACTTTTGCAAAATATTTTCATAGATGCTAACGGCTTTCCATAATTGTTAATTCCAACTTAGAGATAAGTTCAGCTTAGGATCTTTGTGAAACACCCCCAGGCTACCCAACACTCCAAGGGCCTGGATTCACTACAAAATACTTCCCACCTTCAAATGCATTAATGGTGTCGCTCCTCCTTACAGGATTATCTGGGCCCCGTCTTATAAATAGTTTGGTCCATTGATTAATCCAAATCAATCGTAAGTCCTCAAATGAACCGCAAGTTTGCAGTCTCCTATCTCTTATGTACATAGTTGCGATTGATATCAACTCTTATAACTATCAGGCATCCATCCAGTACTCCTTCCGCTCCTCTCTAGGCATCACACTGAACCACCCGTCTCCCAAAATGCTTCCCACACTTCGCAACCCATACCTTCATCAAATATCTCTCAAATCAACTTTTCTGTTAATAACATAAATTTAACAGCACATGTGAACAAGAATTATTTAGAAAATGTGCTATAAGAATACATTATCATAACTAAAAGAGGAGAAATAAGATAAGGATTACTCACGATTAATCCCAAGATGTTAACCATTTTTCTTCTCTTTGTACAATGCAGTACTGACGATCAGAGCGTTAAAAAGGAGACAAACTTTGTATAATCAGTATCGATGACTGAAATAAATTCGACTGCTTTAGGCCTTGTAACCTCTCTATCGGACCTTTTAAAGGCTCCAGTGAACGACTTAACAACAAAGCAAAAAATAAAAAAACAGGATTTGTTTTCCTTTTTTTTCGGAAGTATCGTAAAGTTGATGTCAAGGATGCTTTTCGATCATTGCTAACAAAATGATAAAGGGTCTCATATATTATGTTTTTACGTGGGTGTGTAAATTGGGTCAATTCCATATTATTTGTTTAAAGTACAGTTATAAAGTCACCGTCAGTCTGTCACCTCCCATGCAGCGTGGGCGGTTGGCGTAAAATTATGAAAGAAATCATATTCATCTGATATAATTTATCTTTGAGTTCCGTCATACGTGACCTTGCTTCAAGACTAGATATTATAGTAAAATCTAATCTTAATAAACAACTTCTCTAAAAGAGGGCAAAAAAAAAAACTCTTCCCCAAAAACAAAAACAGGGAAAATTTCATAAACTTTCATTTTCTTTGATATTGATGACGAAATAGGCTTGTTTTATACAGGGTTGTTTAAAAATTATTTGCAATAGGCCTAATAGAACAGTTCACGGTTAGCACATTACTGCAATGACCCCGAATATCCACAGATCTTCAAAACATGAAAAGGTCCCACTTTGTACATTTTGAAATAATCACTCCTACAGCGATGGAGGTGCTATCAAAATAGCATTTGTTTCCCCTTTTTAAAGAATAGTTCCACCTGTGTATCATAACTTTCATGAGCCCGTATCCACTATTTCGTCTCCGTGTATTTCAAAATTTGTTCTGCAATGACCTTTATCTGCTCATGCTCAGACTGCAACTATGAACTGGCTTATTATAATCAGGGTGAATGAATGATTAATTCTTTAAGTTTTTTAGTACAAGGCAAATGGAAGGGGAGCTCGCAAGAAACGTCACAGAGTTGCCAATTGGTGTTTGAATGATCGCACCTTAATTTTTTGAAAACTTTCTCATTTTAAATCAGGTTTTTGCTCAAACCTTCACTAACCTGCTTCTCTCATTTTTCTGCTGCTATTAAAACCAACCTAATATCAGGGAGGACACCCCCATTAGGACAAAGCTCCCAGATAGAGATATCTTTGAGGTGAGAAATCAAGCGCTTCACTTCTGCCGTTTTAAAACTACTTTTTGTCATGATGTCAATTAAAATATTCATTCAATCATTCGCTTAGAGACTTCGATGGTAAGCGCTTTATAAGCGTCGATTTTATTATATTATTATTATTATTATTCCTCTTTCATATCAGTAGATGGAAAGCTTCTTTATTTTTTCAGAAAGGATAATTGCTTTCTAAAAGCAATCGTCAGTGATCAAGAAATTCAGGGGGTAAAAATGCTTTATGTTAGAAAGCAAATGTGATCAATAAATTAAGAGGTCAACAAAGATCAGAGAAATATCTAGGAGGATTAAAAGCAAAGTTAGGTCTTCGGAATAACAGGTCTATCATGTTTTAGATCTCCAGCAAAGGATCTCTTGATGAATAATATTTTAAACGACCTCTACGATGAGTTTAAAACATGGCTATCTGCTAGAATTCATAAGACAGAACTTTCAGTCCAGACACGTGATTCAATAACAGTCGAGACCAAAAGAGTGAATTATATATATGATATATATTATATAGTATACAAGATACATAATAAAGTATGAATGAATGCAAAGTAAGTTCAATAAAAGTCTTATATGTGAAAGATTCAATATAACACTGATTCATTCCCCGACACGATCATCACTCATATTTATTAACAAAATTCTTTTCATTTTCCTATGCTTTTCTTTAACCATTTTATCAATCTATTGAAATTAATATAATTATTTTTGTATAAAAATTTATGTTACTCATCTTCTAATCCTTCGCCATCTTCAATTATTAGTAATATGTTTTTCTGATTTTCCCATTCTCTTCCAGGCCTACTTGTGCTCAAAACGCTTCATTTTCCTTTTTTTTTAAATAAGAAGAATCCAAAACAATTAAGAACTTTAAGAACCAGTATTTTTGAAATGCCTGAAAAGTAACCTCATCCCATAGCGCTTCCCATTTCTCTTAGGTTAGCCCCTAAATCTTTCTCCTATCATTCTCTCTTCCTGTTTTTTTTTCTCAATTCCTTTCCTTTATTTCTTAATTTCTTTCTCATTCCCCTTCCCCTTCTTTACAGAAAGGGGATCGAGACCGTGACCAGGCTTTCACTCCTTCCATGCGTCTCTGAAATCCGTTCTCTGGAATATGATCTACTTTTCACCCTTGGAAATTTAAACCCCACTCTAATTCATATCTGATTAACAAACATTTTGTCATTTTAGTAATTTTCAGTAACCTTTGGACCCCCCCCCCCACTCCGGGGTCGGAATGACCGCATGCGTGTTACCAAAATGTCCAGTAAAGGGGTACTTTTCGTGCGACAAAGTCCAGCCCGAGAATTGTAAGAAAAGGGGGTGTATTTGACTTTCACCCGGAGATTTCTTTAAAAAGGATGTTTTTTTTTAATTTTTCTCTCTCATCTCTTTGGACTCCTGAGAAATTATTCCGAATTTAGGGGGGGGGGGGGTAAATTGAGCATTTTTCCGAATTTAGGGGGGTCTCCAAGGCAGGAAAAGCCCGCGAAAAGCCCGCGAAAGGGGGGTTCGGAAATGATGGCAGTCCTCAGATAGGGGGTGCTTTCAAAAAGAGGGAACAAGCATTATGCATACCCTAAATAACACTGAGTAGGGGGGGGGGGGGCCTTTGGAAGCATGGACTTATTAGGCACCAGGCCGCTGCGTATAATAAATATTATGTAATGGACTTTCGGAATGACTAGAGTTTCGGAAAATAAGGGAATTTCAAAGTAACGAACCCACTTTTGAAGTAATGGTCCCCTGGAAGAGGAAATTTTAGTGTTTAAATTATGAACATTTAAATTAGAAGCCCCAGAAATAGACAGGAAATTGCGAGCATCCTCGATTCATTATTGGAGGACAATTTTCAAGGCCCTATTTAACACAATTTTGTGTCATTCATTTTCTTCTTTTTCTAAACAGGGCTGGGGGGGGGGGCACTGCCGTTTTAGCCCCGTGACTGGATCCACCTGCATAGTATGCATAGTATGTATTACACTGGCCTACATAGACACAAATGGTGGGTAGGCCCTACGGGACTGGGAGGGGGTGCCCCACCTTAGACTAAAGCCTGGTTAGCTTAGCTCAATATGCCTATCATCGGAGTGCCCCTTATCCAAAACTAGTTCATATACTGCATCTTGCATCACGGATATATGCGGCAAATATCTTGCTATATCGAAAGTTTCATGAAAACGTTTTTTTTCCTCCAATAAACTGATGAACTCGCAGAGTTTACATGAAAACTACAGCAAAGAGGGGAACGAACAGGAGCTGTGTTTCAGGTCAGAGGTCATTAGCCCTTTCCTGTTTTGATGGCCATGGCCGTGTGATCAAGAGCAGCAGAGGCGTTCACTCATTTTTAAAATATATCTTTTGATAGATTTTCACTTGTCTAAGTTGCAGACATGACATAGAATATCCAATTGTCATATTGGATACTTTAAGATCTGTCAAAATGTCACAGATGAACAGTTTGGTCGGTGGTTTAAAGAGCCGACATGACGATGTTCGCACCAGGGCAGCGAAAAACCTTCAGCACTACGTGAGCACCGAGCTGCGGGAAGTTTCGGCGGACGAGCGCACCTCGTTTATGGACGAGCTGAACCACCACATCTTTGAGTTGGTATCCAGTCAGGACGTGAGCGAGAAGAAAGGTGGAATTTTAGCGATTGGTGAGTGCATATTATTTCATTTTAGATGAAAAAGTTTAAATGAATTGTTGTTAATGTATGCTAAACTGTTCAATTGCCAATCATTTTCAGTCGTATTCCCTCATTTTTCATTGTGATTTAGGTCTAGACTCTACAGAAACTGAAAAATTTAATTTGTTTTTCGTCTTCTGTAGTTTTGAGTCAATTTTCAGCTGATACATACCTGAATCAAATCATCAAAGCTTAATCTTACAAGATCTCTGGCGCTAATTCAGAATCACATCCATACTTTAATTCTGGCGTGGAGATACCCTACTGTAGTACTGAAACATACCAAAAATTGACTAAATCTTCATCAGTTGTTCGTTATGTTTCTTACCTGTATCGTGTCAATTTTCTTATCCTTTTTGGAGTTTTTTCTTCCTAAAAACGAAGACTTATATTATACATCTCACAGGATTCACGGCAAACTACTGCACAATACAATTGCATACTGACTGACGGTGGGGTGCGCGTGTGGGCGGGCGTGCGCGTGTGTTAAGTTAGCGATCGTAATGATGAATTGCTTAGATTAGAGTCGCTAACTTAACTCGCGCCCGCACCCCATCGTCGATGCAATTGTCCTTCACACAAGTTAATAAAAAAGTTAATAATTATCGTGTGCTAATGTACTTTCGCACTGGGTGAGCTTCGTTCCGTCCCATGCAAGTTAGTTGTATGTGTAGAATAGATTCTATGTCTGGAATGGGATGGGAATGAGAAAACCAATACAATACATATGACGGAATAAAGCACACTTGGTGGCAGTGCGAAAGCAATGAGAATATCATCAAGGTTTGCCTAAATTTTAAAGAAATTTTTCTAAATATCGTGTCATAGCCAAACTAATACTATCAATTGTTTATAGTTTTAAGTCAGATGAAATTCAAATAAGTCGCAAAATCAAGATTTGTAATTGGAACATGTGCAAAGCTTAAGATGGACCCAATCATTTTGTTGACATGTGCATCGAAAATGACTTGAATTCAAAATGTTGCTTTAGTGACATTTGTCTGTCACAATTTTTCCCACAAGCCAACTTCAGAAACAGTAAAATCAAAATAAATGAAAGGAAATGTCCCAGAACAGTAAATTAGAAGACTTATCTTCTGAGAGCAAAGTGTGTAGGTTATGCCCCCCTTATTTGAAGAATTAATGATTGCTGCCACCAATTCTCATGAAAATGAATGAGATTATTAAAGATAGACTGACGTAAAAAAATAAAACTTCTCTTGATATTAATATTTTCAGTGAGTCTCATTGGCATAGATGGTGACAATGCCACAAGAATCACTCGTTTTGCCAACTACCTGCGGAACCTCCTCCCTTCCAATGATGTCGTTGTCATGGAGATGGCAGCCAAGGCCATTGGTCATTTGGCTCTGGCCGGAGGGACATTCACACCAGAGTATGTGGACTTTGAGGTGAAGAGAGCCCTCGAGTGGCTTGGAGGAGACAGGCAAGAGGGCCGCAGACACGCTGCTGTAAGTATTACAAAAATATATTCTTCTGTTAGATTCTAATGCAATGCCCTACTCTAACAGTTTACTTAAAGAGGCCTGGATAAAAAACAAATTTAGAGTCTTCATGCATCTGCCCACATCAAAAGGAAGAAATTGTAAAGGGGGTCTAGAGTTCTCAGTCTCATAAAGAATCATGTATAAGCTGTTGCTCATTACTTACAAAACACGGGGGGGGGGGGGGGGGGGGGGGGGGACAGGGCTTTTGCTAACATTGCACCTAAATTATGGAACACTTTACCATTATAAATAAGACAATCATCATCAATTGAAATATATAAGAAGAAACTTCAGCCCCATTTGTTTATGTCATAGTTTTAATATTGTATAATTATTTTTATATTGTACAGAGCTCCTTGAGCAGTCTTTTAGAATGGATATGTGCGCTTTATAAGTTGACATTATTATTACCCCCATTGCTTTGTTCTAACAGGTGCTGGTCTTGCGTGAACTAGCAGAAAACACTCCAACGTTCTTCTTCCAACAAGTGCAATCATTCTTTGACAACATCTTCAATGCTATCAGAGACCCTAAGGTAAGATATCTCCAGGGCAGGATATAGAGTAGGCAATAAGAGAGATCGAGTTCTGGAGGTGTTTCACAAAGACTATGATCGACTTAAAGTTGGACTTCACTATGGCAGACCGTTCATGCCACTAGTTCCTCTAACAATTCCTGGCATTGGTTTCTCAAGGGACGTTCAAAGCACGGTCACAAATTTTCAGAATTTACCTTTTTTGATAGTTCATTATTTAAGGAAAAATATTGTCTGCAGACCACAACTGAGAGACCAATGGTGAGAGCAACCAGTGACATAAATGACCTGCCATAGTTAAGTCTAACTTAAAGTCGATCTTATTCTTTGTGAAACGCTCCCCTGGTCAGTTTAGAAAAAATGTTGGTGAGGAGCATTCTTTCAAATTTGTATTCATATGAAAAAACCGATTAAACTGATTCCCCTCTTTGTTTTAAACTTCTGTATAAAAAGTATCCAAAATAGATAGTTTTCACATTTTTGCCTTGAGAGATTCTTAACTTTTGTTTTGAAAGGCTGGTACAGTAGGTGTGCATTTGAAGCATGTAATGCATGTATTTGGCCTCGGGACGATCTAGCTTTCGCATATTTAGTCCATTTAAAAGAAATATGTAATGTCAGGGTTTTAGGTTGAAAGCTTAGCTCTCCTCTGTTTCAATTTATGTGTGATATTAATGTAAAGTACTGTCTTGTCCCGTTCTAGTCTCTGTTAGCATCCTCCCTTTCCCCCCCTATTTTGTAGTTCTTTTTGTAGTTACAGATTAGTTAATTTAATTACTCATTATTCCTAAGTTTCATTTGAGGTGTTCACAATTGTACAAGCATTGCTTTTTAGTGGACCCCTCTGTTTCCAACATGTATTTCTTAAATTTGCTTTAAATGCTTATAATTGATTTGTAATGTTTTGTTGGAAACATGAATAAATTTGAAATTGAAATTGAAATTGAATAAACACAGAGTCGCGTGTGGCTGTAATGAGTTGGTTTGATTTTTGACTCAAGATTCAAACTAATACTTGTTTGCTCTACCTGTATAATTATATAGATGCAAACAATGCTAAGATCAGATCAGTATTAGAAACAAGATAAGGGCCCTCTTTGATAAAAATTGATATCAATTACAAGTTACAAGCTACTGTTATAAGCTACTGAAATAATGGCATCTGATTTGCTGAGATGAAATTTGTCATGGAAATTTAGCAGTTGTTTTAGATAACAAGTTTTATGAAACCGGCCCCAGACCCATTAACTCTCTCATTATTAATTATCGCTTTTCCTTTTTGGGTTTCAATTAGTTGTGGCAGGAAAATTTACATAAAATTGTGGTTTCACAGTGTATTTTGTGTCGTCAATTTAACCCTTTGCCTATGGGAGGTGGGTGGCTACTGTATGAAGCTTATGTGAATGAATGAATTCAGGAGTCGATGTGCTAATTGTAATGAGCTTTTATTTCATTGTAGCAAGCAATCCGGGAAGCAGCAGTCTCAGCATTGAGAGCCTGTCTTGAGTTAACGGCTCAACGTGAGACCAAAGAAATGCAGAAACCCCAGTGGTATAAGGTGAGTGTAGTCCCATATGTTACAATTGGCGTATGTCATCACAAGAAAGCCACAGTCCCTTACCCCTAAGTATTCATGTATTGATTCATGCACATCTATGTTGCTTCAAATACCCTTTGTTTCTGCACGTACTGGAGTCCTGACTTAGCAATCTGTTATGAAAAGTAGTTCAGTAAATTTTGATTTTTGTAGTTATCCACCAAATTCAATTTCTCTAAACTTTGCTAGAACTTCATGTTCCTCCACTCATTCTTGTAGGCAACATAATACATAAATATATTTATATCTCTAAGTTTTAATCTTGTCTCTGTTTTTCCTCATACCTGGTTGGATTAGGAAGATGATCTCTTTCTTCCTTAAGTCTAGGAAGATGTCATTGGGAATTATTATCAGGTCTAAATAATTTTTATAAATTTTTGAAGCATGAAAAGTCTTGAGTATTAAAGGCACATACAAGTGGGCTCTCATGCAAAATTTGACACTGTTCTGTTCAGCTTGACCAACAGGCTTTATAATGCTCTGTGTTTTCCCTACATGGTAAAGTCCTTATCTAACATTGTCCTCACCCAAAGACTCTCCGAGATACGAGGGGAATTTCTTTATTGGCCTACAGGTTTGCTGTGTGCAGACTTTTACCCCCTTTAATGTTTTTTCCACCAAGTCCGGTGTCGGCGAATTATGACCTTCTGCACATGGAAACTGACGTCCTACTCCCTTACATGAGGAAAAAAAAAACATACCTATGCTATCAGCGATATGTGTTGCTTATAGAAAGCTGAGAAAATGAAATGATGTGTCAAATTTCTAAATGTATAAGAAATGAATGAAAGAATGATCTATTGTTGCTTTTAAAAATTTAATCTAGCAAACCTATGAGGAAACCGAGAATGGTTTTGAAGAGACGGGGAAAGGAAAGAAGGGGTTGAGAAAATGAAATAATGTGACAAATTCCAAAATGTATAAGAAATGAATGAAAGACTGATCTATTGTTGTTTAAAAAAAATTAATCTAGCAAACCTATGAGGAAGCCGAGAAGGGTTTTGAAGAGACGGGAAAAGGAGAGAAGGGTTTGAGAAAATGAAATGATGTGACAAATTCCAAAATGTATAAGAAATGAATGAAAGACTGATCTATTGTTGTTTAAAAAAAATTAATCTAGCAAACCTATGAGGAAGCCGAGAAGGGTTTTGAAGAGACGGGAAAAGGAGAGAAGGGTTTGAGAAAATGAAATGATGTGACAAATTCCAAAATTTATAAGAAATGAATGAAAGAATGATCTATCATTGTTTTTAAACATTTAATCTAGCAAACCTATGAGGAAGCCGAGAAGGGCTTTGAAGAGACGGGGAAAGGAGAGAAGGGTTTGAACCGAGATGACAGAGCCCATGGAGCATTACTCATCATCAATGAACTCATCAGAACTAGTAGCAGAGAAGGCGAGGTAAGTCTCCTATGGCATTATGGGATACATTTTTTTACACTATTGTGAAATTTTGATTTTTATAAACTCTCCCATAATGAGGAATTGCAGATTGAAGGCGTAGAGATTCGCATAAAAATGAACCTGGGGAGTGTTTCACAAAGAATAAGATTGACTTTAAGTTGGAATTAACTATGGCAGGCTGTTCATGCCACTGTTTTTTCTCACAATTTACTGGTATTGGTTTCTCAAGGGGCGTACAAATCATGGTCACAAATCTACAGAATTTATATTTTTCGATAATTCATTTTTTGAAGTAAAAAAAAATGAACTAACGTCCCTTGAGAGACCAATGGTGAAAGCAACTTATGGCATGAATGGCCTGCCATAGTTAAATCCAACTTAAAGTCGAACTTAGTCTTTGTGAAGCACCCCCTGCTATTGTAAAGGTACCACTATAATTTCCTTTAAATTGAAGAAAGCAATTTGACAAATATTTACGTAGTGTTTCTGAGATGATGACTGTTGATTTTCTTGTCAGTTATTAATTAATTCATTTTATTTTTTTCTTTGACAGCGTCTTCGTCAGGAAATGGAGGAGGTATCGCAACAGCAGACACAGCATGAGCATAGCTTTAGGGTAAGTTATCAAGCAGTGTTCTTCATCCACAAATGGAGAAGAAAAAAATGCTCTTAATTTTGTACTTATCTTCATTTGTAGATATGAATAAGGTGGGTTGCAATGTGATAAAAGTATTACAAGATAAGCCCTAAACAAAATTGCGCTTCAAAATGATCTTGAAGTGCGTCAAAAAAGTAACAAACTTTGAGGGACCAGTTTTACCATACTCTTTTTCCCCAATAGACTGTAATGTTATAAAAACCTTTAGGAAAACGGTTTTTGAAACTTTGATTCCAATCATAAATATCTTGATAATCAAACTTGCGATTGGCTTGTAAAAGTCATGGAATTTATTTCTGACCTAAAGGTTTCTAATTATCATTGCAGCGTGAGCTAAATCCAGGATTCTGTTTTAATAGAATCAGAGGTAAAGTTACCTAATACCTTTAAAGTAAAATATTGCAGACTTATCCACTCTCTCATCGTCTCTATCTTCTCTTCTGTCTGTTTAGGACCTCGGATCATCCAGCAACAAAGCTAAATCACCCACAGGCCCCCAGCTAGGACACAACCAGTACGTTCAGCGAGCCCTAGCCAGTCCACTCTCTCTGGTTGCCACCGGTATCCAACCCAAACCACGCATCACAGAGAGTCGCTACTGTCTGGAACTCATGCAGGAAAATTTCGACATTGTGAGTAGTGGTAGGGTTGTAAGAGTTGTGGTAGTTGTATGTAAAAGTTGCAGTTGAAGTAGTAGTGATGTTAGTGGTGGACACTTGAACAAAATAGAAGATAACGCATTTCAGAGATCTGCTACTGTCTGGAACTCATGCAGGAAAATTTTGACATTGTGCGTAGTGGTAGGGTTGTAAGAGTTGTGGTAGGGTTGTAAGAGTTGTTGTAGTTGTAGTGGCAGTGATGTAAGTGGTGGACATTTGAACAAAATAGAAGATAACGCAGCACAGAGAGCCGCTACTTTCTGGAACTCATGCAGGAAAATTTTGACATTGTGAGTAGTAGTAGGGTTGTAAGAGTTGTGGTAGTTGTATGTAAAAGTGGCAGTTGCAGTTGTAGTGATGTTAGTGGTGGTAAGGCATTGGTGTTAAAGTGGTTCTCTTCGGTCATGCGCCACAGATTACGCAGGAAAAATTCAATACCATAAGTAGTGGTAGGAGTTGTGGTATTGGTACAAAAACATTGCAGTGCTTATGGTATCGGTGGTGGAATTTATTTTTTGTTTGTTAATATTTTGCCTGATATACCTGTATATAAGAAAGCTTTAATATCACTTGTAGGGAAGAAAAAAAAGACAACTGAATTCTTGTAACTTCCTTCATATTACTATTTTTTAAATACTTGATAGGCTAAACGTTGTATTGCCATATTATGAATTCTATTTTTTTTTCTCATGTGCTTAACTAATCAGGTTTGTCAGCAAGTGTTGAAGTTTTGTGGGAGTCGCAATCCTCTGATCCAGCAGATTCTCCTCAACCTCCTACCCAGGCTGGCTGCATTTGAGCCAAAGATGTTTGTTACTTCGTAAGTCACCTAGAGATTGATGTAGAGGCGTCAAAAGGGGGATTTAGGGAGGGGGGAGGGGTATGAGAGGGAGGGGCAAAGAGAAAAATAGAAAGAGACAAAGGAGTAGGACATCAAATCTTGAGAGTACTCAATCTCCTACCCAGGCTGGCAGCATTTGAGCCCAAGAATTTTTTGGATTCGTAAGTCATGTCCAAGCCGAGGTACTGTAGGAGTATCAGTAGAGGGGAGTTGTAGGGAGAGGTTTTCAGGTGCTATGCCGGGGCTGTATTTATGCGTTTTGTAATTGGTAATGATAATTACTTTGAATGTTTCCAAGCATTGAATTTTGATAAAGTTGTCCAATCAAAGTTTCACCTTTGCATTAAAGAAAATAAAGATAGTTTTTTAAAAATCCTCACACAGCTACTTTAGCATAGTATTTAAGCTAGCTCTTCTAATTGAGTTTGTAACGTTTCCTACAGGTTGCTTCGTTTAAGAAAACTTTAAATATGTTTGCATTTTCATTATTTCAGGTACCTTGAAGATACAGTCAAATACATGCTTATCTCTCTCAGAAGGGTAAGTAAAATAACATTAATTTATTTTGATATAAATATGTCATTCATTCATTCATTCATTTAATGATTATAAATGAATGAATGAATGAATGAATTTGATTGCTCATGTACTCATTTGTTGATTTCTGCTTTCTGTCTGCTGTTATTCAGTATAATTTACTTTACAGTGTATTTCCATGTTGGTAGTATGACCAATTTTAATTAAGTATTTATTATTCATTAAACCCTTTATTCATTAATCCATTGGATTATTTTGACATGTTCATTATTTTTTTAGGTGATCTGTCCACCCATCTATTTAGTGATTAATTATTCATCATCATTAAAATAATGATTATAATAACTATTATCTTCATTCATTCATCCATTTACCAATACACCAGTTACGGTTGCAGCAGTGCGCATGGGCAGATATGGGTGCCATTTTAATTTATGAGTAAACAAACCACTGACCTCTAGAGGTCAGTGGTTTACGCGTAAATTACGACGGCGTCTATGCAAATATGATGTGAGCGCACAGCGCAGGCAGTGACGCAACAATACATGCACATCTGAAAACATTCATGACATCACTGCCTGTGCTCTGCGCTCACATCATATTTGCATGGGCGCTATCTTAATTACGCGTAAACCACTGACCGCTAGAGGTCAATGGTTTGTTTACTCGTAAATTAAAATGGCGCCCATAACTGTCATTTTATACATCCAAATATTTAATGAGTAGAAAAATGGTTAGAATTTTCTTTTCTCCAACTAGGAAAGATTTTGAGAGATTGTACCCTCTTTCTTGCCTCGTATGTTCATCAGACATGTACAGTATTATCACCCTTTTACAGTCTCATAAAAGTTGTTGTAGCAATCTTTGTCTCTATCCCTTGTTCTCACGTCACAATATTTAAATCTATCTATGTTACGTTTCTAGGAGAGAGAACGCTCCAATGCATTCCAAGCCGTTGGTCTTCTAGCAGTGGCTGTCAAAGGAAACATCACGGAGCACTTGGGCAAGATCTTAGAGATTGTCCGCTCATCCTTGCCTCATAAGGACATCCCGCACAGGTCAGTCATGATAAGAAACATACATGTATAATGGAAATCATGACATCAGAATGATATTTTACCTGAGATTTACGTATGGAGGTTTCTTTTTTGATGTTATATATATATATATATATAAATATATATAATATATTTTTATATTGATGCTTTCATTGTACTGAATTGAGAATTTCAATTCTCAATTTTAAGATTATGTATTGCTTCTTCATTACAATCTCAGATGAATGAAAGTAATGATATTGAAACGTTTATTTATCAAGACTTTAATAGTATCAACATTTTAATGGGAGACAAATATCAGGAAAATTTACTGATTTATGATAGATGTTAATTTTGACAATATAAATGTACATGACCACTAGCAATTTGTCACTTCATTGTGGATATGAATATTCATGAGCAATTTTCCTCAACCCCTCCTCCCCCTCCCCCAGGAAACACAAGAGCATCATTGTGGATCCAGCGGTCTTCACCTGTATCAGCATGTTAGCCAGAGCAGTAGGACCGGTCATTGCCAGAGATGTCAAGGAACTATTGGAACCCATGCTGGCTGTTGGTCTGAGGTTAGTGTTTTGATGTCTCAGAATTATGCATGAATGTAATGTGTCAAAATATATATTATCGTTAAGTAACATGTTGTTAGTAATTAACTCTTTGTCTGTTTAGAGTCGGAAGGGAGTTAACTCTGTTTAAAGTGATATGAGATAACACCTTTCTGGCTCCAAACAGGCGTCATATGCTCTTATACATAGTGAGTGCCCCTCAAGCTTTCAATAGACAATATATACATGTAGTACTATGCTATGATTTAAAGATAAAGTTGAGTTCTGGTCATGTGATTGCATTGTGAAAGATATGGTGTGTAATAAATCAGAAAAGGTTGATCATGTAGCATATAAGTTTTGGTGTGTACTGCAAAGTTCTGGAATCATCAAAATGATGTGAAATGTGGCCCAGTAAAGTAACAAGCACTGTACAAACATGTGGTATAAAAATGAGGCCCACGTTTTTGAGCTGTTTCATGTCATATTTAGAATATGGAGGCATTTGAAGAGCCATGCTTTTCAGGTAGCTTTTTTTCTCTGATGTTCTTCCACACTTGCATAATAACAACGAAAACGCTCACAAATTATTTTTCACCTCTCCCCAGAGCTCAACCTTCTCTTTAAGTCCTTTGGAATTGACTTGAATGGGATTAAATTTTGGATAAAATCATAATCGCTAGAAAACTTAATATTATTATTATTCCTTTTTCTTTAGCCCGGCCTTGACTGCAGCCCTTCACGACCTTGCCAAGCAGATTCCCCAGCTCAAGAAGGATATCCAAGATGGCCTCCTCAAGATGCTGTCCCTGGTCCTCATGCACAAACCCCTGCGCCATCCCGGGACACCGAGGGCGCTGCTCTCTCCTACTGGCCAGACAGGTTAGTCTTCAATACATACTGTGGATATACATCTACTCGAAGAAAGGACATAGATGATGGGACTGTTTTAATAGCCTGTTTTATGTCTTTTTTTCATGGACAAACGGTTGGGAAAATTCAAAAATGGTTGTGAGAATTTACTGTTAATCACTGTTATAAGGGTGTTGCACAGTGACGCCTTCAAAGAAACCATAGATATCTTTGTGGTTTAAGAATTTTTCAGGATTTTTTGCATGTCAGAGGGTTAGTACAGTAGAAGGAATATAATAAGTAACATTTTATACAAAAATGAATCAATTTTTTTATCAACCTTCAACAATGTTACCGAGTCACTGTAATGCATTCTACTTGAGAAAATCCTTCATATTCATGAGTAAATCAGTGTATTGAAATTGATCTATGAGTGCATTTGCTACCCGTTAGTATAAACAAAGTAATACCATAAAGTAAATTAACTTGAATGTACTCTCCAGGTACAGCATTGTCATCCATTGACTCCGGTGACCTCACCAGCACAGTGCTTGCCCTCAGGACCTTGGGTAACTTTGACTTTGAAGGTCACTCCCTCACCCAGTTTGTGCGTCATTGCGCCGACCACTTCTTGTCCAGTGAGCACAAGGAGATCCGCATTGAGGCGGCTAGAACCTGTTCCAGCCTGCTCCAACCGGCTGTCAATGTAAGTTTTCATGGAGTGATTGTACATTACGTTGTATTCTGAATCTAAGTTTGTCCAGTGAGCACAAGGAGATCTGGACTTTAGGCGGCTAGAACCTGTTCCAGCCTGCTCCAACCGGCCGTCAATGTAAGTTTTCATGGAGTGATTGTACATTACGTTGTATTCTGAATCTAAGTTTGTCCAGTGAGCACAAGGAGATTAGCATTGAGGCGTCTAGAACCTGTTCCAGCCTGCTCCCACCGGCTGTCAAAGTAAGTTTGTCATGGAGTGATTGTACAGTGCATTGTATTCTGAAGCTAAGTTTGTTTTTTACAAGTCAGGTTTGGTTTTCTAACCCTGATCCTCAGTCTTGACGTAATATTTTCTATGTATTGAATTTTTCATAGTGAAACACTTCGGCAGGGAATGTAATGTGTTTAAGTTACATTGATAGATGATAATGTACACAATTTGGTATATACATGTAGTCATTTTGCAAATGTGATAGAGAAGTCATTTTACAAACGTGATAAAGAAGGAATTTATAACAATTTTTTGTAACTATCTAAACTGTAATTATAAAATGTAAGTATTATTAGTGTAGTTTTAATGTGTGCGTCATTTGCTTTTATACATGTATAATCTACTCTATTGTGATGTTTCGTATCAAATATTTTGATGAAACTGGAAAAAAATAAAATTAAATGAATCTATCCTTTGCAACCCCCTAGCTTCGGAGTGCCCCACACCCAGTCAGTGCAACTAACACCCAGGTCGTAGCGGAGGTTCTCTCTAAACTCTTGATTGTAGCCATTACAGACTCAGGTAAGACAGTGGTGATATGTGTCCTGGTTTTTTTCTTCACAAAGATCCTAAGTCGAACTTAACTCTAAGTTGGACTTAACAACTATGGAAAGCCGTTAGCATCTTTGACAATATTTTGTAAAAGTTATTTTAAAAGGCATAAGATGTTGATTCAAATCATTCATATTTTCTATTATCATGGGAGATTTCATGTTCTTGATGTGGAATTTATAAAAAATCTAAAATACTTGATGTTTTGCTTTTGAATATATCTTATTTTAAGGTTACAAATGGCTCTTCATAATTTTTAAGTCCAACTTAAAGATAAGTTCAACTTAGGATCTTTGTGAAACACCCTCCTGGGCTCCATTTCACAAAACCTGTCATCAGTGACAAATGACAGTTTTTGGTTTAAGCTAGTGAAATCCTTACTTCTGATTGGTTATCAGCAGATTTGTCACTGATTTTTGTAATATGTCGTTGAAAAAAGGCTTTGTGAAACAGGTCCCTGGATGAATGTATTTGTCAAGTGGGTATTTTCTCAGGCAATTTGGTATTCTTTCACACGTTCATACACAAGTATGGCAAAAGTATGTGTATCAACGTTTTTGCTGCAAACTGCTTTTATTAGTCTGCATGCATCCATGTTCTTTTAAAACATTTGTTATGCTTTGAAAAATGTTTGTATTAATAGTTATGTTGTAGTTGTTATAGTTTTTCATGATTGTGATGATAATGAATTGTATCGTGATTATAATGATATGATGATGGTGATGATAATATAATTTGTTTTGATATCTACACTATGGTTAAGAATGTCCCCTTTGCTATTAGAATCACATACTCTATGCATACATGGCATGTCCATGTATTCTTGAAAATATGCAGTAAACGTAACTCCTGTACTTGTCATATAAACAGACATGTAAGTATTAATGATAGTGCACTGATGATGGTATCAAACCTGTCTGTAAAAACCACCCAAGGGAAACATAAAACGTGGCCACTATAGACAGGTGGTCTTTATAGAGAGGTGGTTGCTAATACAGGTTTGACTGTACTAACAATCTCTTGTCTCATATCACCCCTTAGACCCTGACATTCGGTACTGCGTCCTTGCATCTCTCGACGAGCGCTTTGACGGCCACCTTGCCCAGGCCGAGAACCTTGGCGCCCTCTTCCTCTCACTGAATGATGAGATCTTTGAGATCAGAGAGCTGGCCATGTGTACCATTGGTCGTCTCAGCAACCTTAACCCTGCGTACGTCATGCCGTCTCTAAGGAAGACACTCATACAGGTAAGGCGCATCATTTGCTATAATTTTGTCAATAAATTATTGCTATATTTCGTATATATATTTGTATTTTATGTTTATCTTTCGTTATGTTATTTGTATGTTCTTTACCTATCTGTAAATATCAATGTTACAATTATGTATGTTTTTATATGACGAATGGAATAACATGAATTGAATTTAATTGATATTTCTATTACATTGAACATACACAGCTGCAAATACAAGCCTCCACTACCAGCCGTTTTGTACGGGTTATTGTGCCAGGTGACGAAAGGAAGTGATTATCAGATTATAGGGAAGCTTACCACACCAAATGCATCCTTTTTGAGACCTGTAGCCAGGGTTGAAAAGAAAGTAAAATAATTACAGCAAAACTGAAGATTAGACCAATACAGCTCTTCAAAATGCTTTCTCAAATATAACTTTGAGATTATTTGGTGCTTCAAAAGTTGAAATAACATAGGAGAAATTACACAATTTTAGGAAATGCTACAAACTAAAATTTCACCATGCTGACCTATCAGCCATTATTGAGCTCAAACTGAAAATTACGCCATGCGCCATTTTGTTGGTTTTGTGGTGCCTTGTCACAAATATATTTCTTTATGCTATTTTGATATTTGCTTGTTAACGTAGATCTTGACTGAACTAGAGCACAGTGGTGTTGGACGAAACAAAGAACAGAGTGCCAGAATGCTGGCTCATCTAGTCTCCAATGCACCAAGACTCATCAGACCTTACATGGAACCCATTCTAAAGGTAAAGATGGAGCTATAAAGCTGGTTAAGAAATGATGATGGTGATGGTGATGGTGATGGTGATGGTGATGATGATGATGATGACAGTGATAATTATGATGATGGTTGTGGTGGTGATAATGATGTTGATGTAGATCTTAACTGGATGAAACAAGGAACAGAGTGCCAGAATGCTGGCTCATCTAGTCTCCAATGCACCAAGACTCATCAGACCTTACATGGAACCAATTCTCAAGGTAAAGATGGAGCTAGAAACCTGATTATGAAATAGATGATGATGTTGTTGATGATAACGATGATGATTATTAGTTGAAAGTTGGTGATGATAATTGTGATTGTGATGATGATAATCATGATGATTGTGGTGGTGATAATAATGAAATTGATATAGATCTTGACTGAATTAGACCACAGTGGTGTTGGACAAAAAAAAAGAACAAAGTGCCAGAATGCTGGCCCTATCAAGTCTCTAATATTAATTATGATAATGGTTGTAGAGATAATGATGTTTAATGATGATGATGATGATGATGACGATGATGACGACGATGATGGATGGCATGATGACGATGATGATGATAATGATGATAATGGTGATGATGATGATGATAATGGTGGTGATGATGATGGTAATGTTGATAGTGATATATCTAACATTGATTTTTATGACATTTATTATGATAATGATTTTATATATAATGTTAGTACAGTATGTGTAACTCACATGTAGAACCCCAAAAATGATTACGATGACGATATCGATATACAAAGTTGTACAATGTCTTTATGCCTTGATAAACAGATTCTCATGACTCCTGTGTAGTTACTGTCACAAGCTGCAGATAATGATGTTGTGTATGGTGGTGGTGTTGTCAAAGTGATAAGTCAAACTGCATTGTTTAGTCATACGCTCATCAATGGGGGTCAAAATCACTCTGATATATTGATCATTCTGTGTGTACCCATATGAATCCTCCCTTGTGTAACATATTTTTTATTTCATTTCTTCAGGCACTTGTACCGAAGCTGAAGGAAGCAGACCCCAACCCTAGTGTTGTAATCAATGTGCTAGCAGCCATAGGAGAGCAAGCTCAAGTGAGTTTGAATTAGAGTGCATTTAGATGACAGATTTCACAAACAGCCTTGAGCTGCATGTCATGTTCTTTTTAAAACCAGTAAACCTATTCAAATCCATTCAATTCAGTTCAGTTTCAATTCAATCAATTCAGTTCAATCAATTCAGTTCAGTTCAGTTCAGTTCAGGTCAGTTTAATTCTATTTAGTTCAATTCAATTCAGTTCAACTCTAGTTAAGTCAATACAATTCAATTCAAGTCAGTTCACTTCAATTTAACAATAGATTACATATGGGTGTTCCTTCAATTTACAGTCAGATTTTATATGAGCTGTATTTTTTAGACTGGACAAGAGAAAATATTGTTTACAATACCCGATTGTGTTGTAAAATTCAAATGACCCCAATTTTATTTTATTTGAGGTTCTCATGTAAATGTCAAATGTTTAGAACCAGAAGGGCATTAACTCATATACTTTAAAACACAGTTTATGATCTTCTGGCTCTGAACAGAAAATGTGTGAATTTTTGATTGATGATTTGTTTTGCATTTTCCTTGATGTTTAGGTGAGTGGTATCGAGATGAAGAAATGGATGGACGAGCTTTGTCCCATCATGTTAGATATGTTACAGGACAGTGCTCTATTACGCAAGAGAGAGGTAAATCCATGAAATCTTCTTGATCTTATTTAATATTGTTTTAACTGTATTAACCAAAAGCAATACACACTTTAAAGATGAACTTGAGTTTTGGTAAATATAGAAAATAACTTCTAACAGAATCCGACGAAACTTACACTAAATGTTCAAGATTACCTGGTAGGAATTTATTCCTTGAAATGCTAGAGCGCCGTATGGCAGCCGTGCTAAAGCCAGGGTAATAATAATCGGGAGCGCCAGGAGGGTCAAATCTGACTGACATGAGCACTATACAAGAACCCACTATTATTATTATTATTATTACATATAAATGACATGTGCCAAACGATTTTGGTAGAAAATATATAGTGGTTGAGTAATGATCAAAGAAAGATAATCCGGGTTAGTAGGTCAGACACCATGTGCTTAAAACAGGTCACTACAGTATGTGCAAATGGGAGTGGTGGTTTTTATCGAAGATGATGCCCAGTAAGTTTTTGTGCATTTGTTTTTATTTCAATGGTTCAAACAACCAATCTACTGCAGGATAAACAATTCAGAATAAATCATAGCAATTTTCTCTTTAAATATGATTCCAATACCAGAGCTCAAGATTAGCTTTAACTGATTATATAGTTTATTTTGGAGCAAGTGCCATGAGCACCTAGCCGGTGGATATCGGTGCTATGGAAGACATTGTGATTATTGTTATTATTATCTTGTCAGTGAGGGATTGTAGAAGTAAAGAGTTTTACAACACCAAGTCCCCTAGATGCATTTAAGACTTAAACACAAACAGTCAAACCTGTCTTAGTGGCTACCTCTCTATAAGGGCCACCCATCTATAAAGGCCACTTGTCTATAGAGGCCATGTAGTTTGTCTCCCTCAAGAAAGAAATGTGTGTTGTAGACCTGTCTACAGTGGCCACTTTTTCTTTTTCCTCTTTGTGGCCTCAGTAGACAGGTTTGACTGTATATGTCCTGCAGGCTGCTTACTGGCATCTATCTGCAAGAATAAAAATGCTTGTTTTTCTGGTGGAACGGCCAAAAGGGCATGACCTTTGATAAATTAATTTTTCATATGCAAAAGTCCCATTTACGCTTTAAGTTCATGCTGTTCACATTAAGTACTTTTGGCTGTTACACTAGCAGTCTGGTAAAATTAATCATTAAATAGAATAGAATAGAAAGAAATCATCTATTATTATTCTTAATCCTTACAGGTTGCACTATGGACCCTAGGACAGTTGGTAGAGAGCACAGGTTATGTGGTAGAGCCTTACAACAAGTATCCCAATCTTCTGGATGTCCTACTCAACTTCCTCAAGACAGAGCAGTCTCCCACTCTAAGAAGAGAGGTATGCAAATTGGATTATTCACTTTCAGTATTTTTGTTTAATTTTTAAGTTAAACTAAAGCATTTGTTGAAAACTAGGAGTATGCTCATTAGCTTATATAATTTGTTTTAGAAGGTTATATTGTGGAATAAACAAACAGATATTGCAGCTTCATGTTCTACTTCATTTTCCTATCTGTAATTCTTAACAATCTTCATCTCGTGGAAGAATAGAGAGAACTTACATGTAGTAAAGATGAAGTCACTCTCACTGTCAGTTCTATTGCTCAATATGTATTCCTGACAAACCTAGAGCCTACCTTATTTATTTCAAAACTAACGTAAATGTGTGTTGAGCCTGCCTAACATTGTTACACAGGAAGAATGGTCAGTGTTATTCAATTCATTATGTTAATGAGAGGGATTAATCAGTGGGAAAAGGGTAATCAAAATTTGCACTCCTACAATGTACATGTATGCCTAGTGGACCTAAAAGGATCCATATTAGTTACAGTACAGATTTTTAGATTATGATTATGATGATTTTCCTTGAATCATCATCCTCTGTTTAGACCATCCGTGTGCTAGGCTTGCTGGGAGCCCTGGATCCATACAAACACAAGATCAACCAAGGAGTCATTGATACCACAGGAGACGGGGGAGCCACTCAGAGCATGTCAGATGCTAAATCCAAAGAAGAAGGTACATGGATATTGTTTTTATCTTGTGTTCTGAACTTTAAACCCAGTGATTATTCTTATATGTACTGCCAAACACCCGTAGAAGGGGTATCTAGAGAGAGAGAGAGAGAGAGAGAGAAAAGTTTGAGATTAAGAATAGGTAGGAAAGTATTTGCTAAGAAGTAATTTAGCCTTTGTAGGATTAAACTTTTCAGCTACTTATCTTGCTTCTGGATATGATATTTTGTATTATATAAGTATGTTAAAATTTTCAATATTATTAAGCCATTGAATACTGAATTCTCTCATTCCCATAGGCTTTAATACAGGAGCCGACCATTTCCAGTAGGCAATGGGTTAAAAGAAATATACTGAGCACTAAGAGATTCTACATGTTACAGTCACCAACCACTTAGTTGATTATGTGACACAGGCTTAATTTGATGTTAGGTTATATATCCAGTCTTCTTAGAAAGTAGTATAGAAAGACCACTCGAGGGAGACAAGAAAAGCAATCTAGGCAGGTGGTCTTTGAGTGCAGGTTCCTTTAGTCCATATTTCAATGAAAAACCACTTATTAGGGAAATTAAAAAAATGTAGTCTTTTATAGACAGGTGGTCTTTCTGTACAGGTGGTCGCTATATCAGCAGAGCTGCCAACCATTCCGTTTTTGCCGGAAGTACTCGTTTTTTCCTCCAAATTACGGTATTACGTTTTTCCTTCATAAAATACGGTTCTTAAATTAAATTTTTTTTTTAAATTTTTTTATTTTTATTTACATACTGCCCGTCAAACAACTGCCCTAAAATGGTGATTTGATCAACAATTCAATAGAAAACTAAATTAAAAAAAATACATGAAAAGAAAAATATTCTCAAAAAGAATGAAATGCTGATAATACCAAAATACATGTAACCACCAAAAAAATTCCTGCTTGTATGGAAAAACAGCATGATGAATGAACATATCTGCATTGGTAGTGTGTCGCACAAGGTTGGCAGCTCTGTATCAGGTTTGACTGTACTAATCCAATAAAACTCCTAACCATTTTTACTCCAGCTGGTGAGTCTACTGCTAGCGAGATGCTGGTCAACATGGGCAGCGCATCTCTGGAGGAATTCTACCCTGCCGTCGCCATAGCAACACTGATGCGGATCATGCGGGACGGCTCCCTGGCCAACCACCACACGGGTGTGGTTCAGGCCATCACGTTCATCTTCAAGAGCCTGGGCGTCAAGTGCGTCCAGTTCCTTCCTCAGATCATGCCTACTTACATCAACGTGATACGCACCTGCGATAACAACACACGAGAGGTGATTATAACAATAATATGTCTTGTTTACTCATGGTAGCCTCTTCCTGAGGGCCCTGCAATCATATTATTACCCCAGCTTTAACCGAGCTACCATTTCTTTTTGATTTACATGTTTTCTTGTCTTTCTGAATCGTTACATGCATGAAACTCTAGGGGAAACATGACCTTTACCCTAATAGTGATAATGAGGGATCATTGCAGCAATGTAGAACTAATGAAATATTTATTCGTTGAAACAGAATGGTCCTTTCCATAAAATATCAATCAACACATTTTGCTATTGGTGCAGTGAAAATTATAAGCTAGGGCAAATGCAACTACAGAGGTGTTTATCTTTGTTATTTGCTTCAGAACAAATAAAATGCTTTCATGTGATATCAGTTTCCTTGATAATATAATAAGCCAAGCTTTTATTCTCAGCTTAATGTTAAACAAAAAAATGCCCTGAGATTGAACCAATCTAAAATTTGCATTAAACAAGTACGAGTATTGGATACAGAGGTGTTCTGAACCTCTGGTCCTCTATTACATTAACTATTGAAAACAAAGCACTCTTGAATATAAACCCTTCAAAAAAAGTTTGGAAACTCAAGTCTGATCGATTATATCTCTCTTGTCATTGAATAATGATCGCTTTGTTTAGTATCATTAAAAAGTATATTCATTCCTTTTGAAAATGATACCTCGTTTTTTTTTTTTTTCCAGTCATGGAATATTCAGTAGATCAAAATAAGGGGTAAGGGCAAAAGTGAAAGTTGCGAAATGCACCGTTCTTGTTGGACTGTGCGTTCAAATTTCCCTATTACCCGGGCCTTTTCAATAGTGGTTAACCTAAGCATGTTGCCTCATAAAGTCGATGACCCTACCCTTATTCTGATGTACTGCTCACTCCATGGATCCAAAATTACAGCAAATATGCTGTCATTTTAAAGTGGAATAACCACACTTTCTAAAAATAATAATCAAAGCAATGATTTTGCCATGATGACAGAGCTATAATCGAACCAACTTGAGTTTCAACGTTTTGATGATGACAATCAAGGTGATTATTATACCATGAGAAGAGATCCATAATCAATCTAACTTGAGTTTCCAAACTTGTTTTGAGGGGTTTAGATATATGTACCTACTGTTATTATTCCTTTGCTCAGTTTTCATTCAATTGAAACAAACAAATATGTGCTTTAATATTTGATAGTTTACATTGTAGCTCTTCAATGTTAGATTACCTATTGATCAATTATGCTGCTCCTTTTGTATTCACAGTTCCTGTTCCAGCAGCTGGGCATCATGATCTCCATTGTGAAGCAGCACATCAGAAACTTCTTAGATGACATCTTTGACCTTATTAGGGTGAGTACTGGTGCTGGTTGCAGGGTCTTAACGTTAAAGCCCCACTGCACTACTCATAGCTACTTGCGCCCTCTATATAGCAAACAATGCCTAAGCGGTGACTGTTGGTACCCCATGGTCCCCTTTTTCTTATGTTAATTGAGAGCTGATTTGATGAGATAACCACCTGTCAGTGACCATGTAGGGAGGTCTATTCCCTCCTGGCCAAACTAATGCAGATAGGCATTGACATTACTGTCTATTACATGTCCTTTATCTGTATCCAAGCAGGTTTATATGATGCTGTTTTCGAAAATTTTGTATTAAATGACAAACATCAAACAGTTCATCCCCATGACTTCATCTTCTTAAATTACTCTTTCAGTCGACTGCCGGGAGTTACTTAAAGATAAAGTTGAGTTCTGGTCATGGGATTGCATTGTGAAAGAAACGTGGAATCGAAAGGTTGATCATCTAGCATATAAGTATTGGTGTGTACTGCAAAGTTCTGGAATCAACAAAATGATAAGAAATTTGGCCCAGTCTTGGTAAAGTTACAAGCACTGTACACAGAAAGAAAGATGTATATAGGACTACACGAACATGGGGCATAAAAATCTGTCCCAATTGGTATGATATTACATGTCCTATTTAGAATATGAAGGCATTTGAAGAGCGATGCTTTACAGAAAGCATTTTTTATCTGATGATCTTCCACACTTGCATAATAATAATGATAACCCTCACAAATTATATTTCACCTCTTCCCAGAAATCAACCTTCTCTTTAAGTCCAGAATGCATATATTGTAAATCTATATTGTTTATCTCTCACAGGAATTTTGGACAGTGAACAGTCCTCTTCAGAACACCATCATCCTGCTGGTGGAGCAGACAGTAGTGGCTCTAGGAGGAGAGTTCAAGCTTTACCTACCCTGCATCGTCCCTCAGATGCTCAAGGTCTTCATGCATGATAACAGCCAGGGAAGGGTCGTTACTACCAAGGTAAGCTTATTGTATTGATAGATTTGAATTAGATTCAAACCTACTTTAGTGACCACCTGTATAGAAAGACCACCTGTCTACAAAGACCACATTTTTGGTTTCCCTGGAAAAATAGTTTCTCATTGAAACATGTACTAAATGAACCTGTACACAAAGACCACCTGCCTATAAAGACCATTTTTCTTGTCTCCCTCGGGTGGTCTTTATAGACAAATTTCACTGTATATCAACGTGGTACTGGTAGAAAAGAATTGAAGCTGAACGTTCTATGAATCTTGCCTCAGATGCTCAAAGTCTTTATGCACTACAACAGCATGTATATTGTTTATCTCACATGAAAGGGAAGGGTCATTACTACCGAGGTAAGCTTAAGATATGTGACTGTTGCTCTAGAAAAGAAAAAGCCAGAATTCTAATATCTGATTCTATGAATGGTTGTGATATGAGATCATTCTTTATAAAGCTGCAAATATTTCTGGTTATTACAATATGTCTTTAAAATAACATGTAATTCTATTGAGTCTAAACTTACATTTAAACCCGTATTCTACTCATGCAGTCAGATCTGACACTAGGTTTAAGTCATGTTATAAATAAAAGGCAAGTATAGACGTCGTATTCACTTCCCCTGTTAAAAATTGACTTCAGAATGAGCTCAAATCCTGCATTGGGTTTATATTTTTACTAGAATACCTATCTTGATCTGTCAATATATCTTCTTATGAAACCTTTTTTCCCTGTTCCACATCTACACATGTACAGCTCCTGAACGCGATGCAGAAGTTTGGAGCCAATCTGGACGACTACCTTCACCTTCTTCTCCCCCCTGTCGTGAAGCTCTTTGACTCTCAGGAGGTCCCAGTTTCTGTCAGAAGGTGAGAATGCAGCTGCCAGGGTTTTATTAGGGACATCTAGATATGATCACAATTCTCCTGTTCTCCAAAAGCTGCCAGTCTGCAAGCGCATAGAATTCAAAATCTTTCTCACATGGAAGGCTGTAAATGGATTAACACCAAACTATATACAAATATGCCTTATTCACCAGCTCGTAGTCTAAGATCATCACATCAGCATCTTTTTAAGATCCCCAAGACGCGAGTAGCCTGTGGTGAAAGGGCCTTTTCAGCTGCAGCACCTTCTCTTAGGAATAATTTACCATTTAATTTGAGAATCATAACTTCCTTAGGGACCTTTAAATTTGAGCTGAAATCTCGTCTTTTTTTAACAATACCTGTACTTGGCACTACGACACTCATCCAACCTCTCTTATTCTTTCTATTTTTTGGTGCGCCTCGGAATAGAATTGTCTAGATAGACGGCGCTATATAAATGCCTATTATTATTATTATTATTATTATTAGTTGATAGGGTTGTACAACACTTCCCCCTCCAACAGTTTCTTATCTATCAATCATTTATACCGATTAAATATCTATCTAACTTTAACTCTACACTTTTCCCTGTACATGTACCCATCACTAGCGTTATCCTAATCTAAATCTCAAACAGAAAAATAAAGAAACTTATATATTATCGAGAGAGGAGTAATTCCATGATGGTTATGCTGGTGTATGAGATGCTTATTTATACAAAAATAACAGACAAAATAGAGGAAACATAACAATAAATAAAAAAAGGGGGAGGGGAAGTAAGATATAACTTGAAAAAGATTTAACAATAATATAACAAGGAAAGTAAGGGAACCTTTTTCCATATTCATTGAATTATAAGTTTTTTTTTTTAATGAAGTAATCTAATCTTACAAGAAAAGAAAGAAACTTTGACCAAAAAATAGCAACAATATGACAATACTTGATATTACAGTTTCAATTTTTATTACATATCATTACAATTTCAGTTTTCTTACAAATACATATGGTAGCAAAATCACTGATATCTTTTCTCTGTCTTTCCCCCCTTCCTTAGAACTTCACTAGAGACCATTGACCATCTCAGTGACAAGCTGGACTTCATGGAGTTTGCCTCCCGCATCGTCCACCCCTTGGTCCGCACCCTGGACACCACGCCTGACCTTCGACCCGTTGCCATGGACACGCTGTCCTCCGTGGTCCTGCAGCTCGGCAAGAAGTTCCAGATCTTCATCCCGATGGTGAACAAGGTCCTGGTCAAGCACAGGATCAACCACCAGAAGTATGAGACGCTGGTCCTCAAGATCCTCAAGGTAGGATGACATTGGATTTCTTTGATTTTATCCCTTGTAGACATTAGACACTTAGACATTAGTCATACTTCGAAGAGTGATGTTCTCACAATGAGTTTGTAATATATGGTAAGGCAATAATCCTCATTATCATTTCCTTCAGAGAGGACTAAAAGCTGTCTGTCCCCTTGTTGCTTACTTACAAGCATACACTTGCTTCATTAGCAGTCAGGTAGAACAAACAAAATAGCAATACTTAGAGGATTGTTTGAAGTTTGAAGTTTGAAGTTTTTACATCAAAAAACAGTTTAAAATTGTTATATTTTTTTTTATACAAGCGTATAAGAGTAGATTTCACACAAAAAAAATTATAGTATAATGTACTGAAAATAAGTACGAAGTTTCAAAATATATAGATTGTGAACAGTTGTGAACAGTTGTTAAAATTATCTTTGCTTTTTTGATCAGGGTACGACCATAGCAGAGGATGAACTCCTTTTGATGAGAGCACGGAGCAAGAAAATGAGCTCGAAGGAGGATAGCTCCGCCATGGAACCAATTACTGTTAAGAAGCTCCCCGTCAGTACCAGAAACCTGCAGAAGGTAAGACTGATCAAGTCATAATAAAAATTAGTGATGAGAATAGATCAAAATGTGATGGTAACTGCAGCATATACTTACAGCATATTAGAAGTGCTTGATGAGAATAGCTCACCTCTATTATGCTGTGCAAAAATTATCAATGAAATTGATTACAATTGTGCTATTGTCCGAGGTGTGCCGAGGGCAATAGCCCAATTGTTCCCGAGAGCGTATATAAACAACTATTTCTCGAATATTAAAGCAGTCATTAATACTTTTATGTGCCGAAAAAAAAGAGTAAACTAATGACACCACCTTGGCCTTTCTGTAGTTTATCTGCACGGTTGTTTTTTATGAGTGTATCTTTGAGAGTAGACTAGATCTAGATTCTAGTCTAAGCAAGATATTTTTACAATTTTGGGGGTGAGCCAACCCTGTGGGTAATTTGGAGAAAAACCTGCGCTTTCATACGACACCTCACTTATTGTGTATTACCTTCAGGATCACGAGCAATATTAGTTTGAATCTCTGGTCATTAAAACATTGACGAATGTAGCATGAGTGCGCAATGGCCAATGCATAGGGATGTGTGCAATCTCTACGGGAAGGATTTTAGCACTAGGCCTACTAGATCTATTTTGAAAACAATTATGGAGAATTTCACGTACCCTTTTTGGTGTTCTTGCTGTCAGCAAGTCTTGCATTTGATCACCATTAAGAAGTTGAAATCTTGGGAGAGTTTCTTCAGCCATTTTTGCCTTGTTTGGAATTCAGTACAATCGAGATTGCCGTATTAAAAATACCGACCAATTCTTCGCACACGTACGGTATCCTTGATCGCTCAAACCAGTTTTTAACATGTGAATCTATGGGTATTTCACCAAGACTGAACTATTTTCCCGGTAACTGGAATTTTACCGGGAATTTTACAGGAATAGTTAAAACCATGACTGCAATTTCGGCCAATCAGATGGCTGGATTTCTTAAGTGAGGTATATAATGCATGACGATGCCTCTTTTAGCTGAGAGGTTGATGATGATGTTTGTTTAGTAGGTGATATTATGAGGCTATCCAATACACAAGAAAGCACTTGATATTTTGAACAATGTTGCCTTTTCATATTTTGGACAGTGCTGTCACAAACATACATGTATTATATCCACTGTTTTAGGCATGGGCTGTAACTAGGCGTGTCTCCCGTGATGATTGGATGGAATGGCTACGTCGTCTTAGCATTGAGCTTCTGAAGGAGTCACCGTCTCATGCTTTAAGGTCATGCTGGGCTCTGGCACAGACCTACAACCCCCTAGCAAGGTAAGAAGGGCCTCTATGTGTATGTCTGTCAGTCTCTGTGTGTATGTCTGTCAGTCTCTATGTGTATGTCTGTCAGTCTGTGTGTGTATCTTTGCCAGTCTCTGACTGTATCTCTGTCAGTCTGTGTGTGTATCTTTGTCAGACTCTGTGTGTATCTCTGTCAGTCTGTGTGTGTATGTCTGTCAGTTTCTATGTATATCTTGTGTATGTCTGTCAGTCTGTCTGTGCGTATCTTTGTATGTCTCTGGTGATGATCGGTGTCTGAGCTGTGAAATTGTCCTGAAGGAATTACCATTGCATGATCTATGGTCATGCTAGGCCGTTGCACAGACCTACAATCCCTTGGCAAGGTAAGAAGGGCCTCTATGTGTATGTCTGTATGTCTGTCTGTCTGTTTGTCTGTTAGTCAGTTGGTTCTCTCTCTCTCTCTTACTTTCCCTTTCTCTGTGTATATCTTACTTTTACCACCCTCTTTTTCTCTCTTTATCCCTCCTTCCCACATTTTCTCTCTCTCCATGTCTAATTTTCTCTCCTACTTTAGCTCCGTCTCTGTCTCTGTCTATCCTTCCCTCTGTTAAACTTTCTCAGTCTCAGCCTCTCTCTGTTTGTCTGTCTGCGTGCATTTATGACTCTGTCTATGTCTCTCTTTCCCTCACTCCATCTTCTACTGATGATAGTTTTGTACTTGAGAGTGTCTGCAGTCATTTTTTTTCTTCTTCAAAGCCAACATTTTCTTTACATATCGTCAACAAGAATCATTGGGACTATTTTTCTACTGACCTGTTCATGTATTCTCTCCTCCAGAGAGTTGTTCAACACAGCCTTTGTGTCTCCAGAAGGTTTTGACCTCTCACGACTTCCAGAGTCTAGATCCTACTCCCTTTGCTAAACATAATTTCGTATTTGTATCATCACTATCAACTTCATTATTCATCATGAACATGTGCCATTGTTTTCTCCACCAGAGAGTTGTTCAATGCAGCCTTTGTGTCGTGCTGGTCTGAACTGACTGAGCAGGACCAGGACAGTCTGATCCAGAGTCTCCAGAAGGCTTTAACCTCTCAGGACATTCCGGAGATAGTCCAGATTCTACTCAACCTGGCAGAATTCATGGAACACTCGGACAAGGTCAGAACCTTAAAAGAAATCTCTGTATATGCACAAACATTATATATTCACAGCTAATATTAAAATGTGAGGACTAGAGACCTTTCAGATTGTTATTTCTTATATTCTTGAATTCATAAATATCTTGAAAGTAAGTTATTGTATTGAACTTTCTAATCGATAATTAACTAGCATATGTAATATATCAGCTCTGTTGATCTGGTAAATTCAGGGAAGATAAAATCTTTTGTTGTATTGTATATTTGTATATATTATCATATTGTTGGGTGTCTCTCTCTCTCTCTCTCTCTCTCTCTTCTCTAAACTTTAAAGCCCCACTGCACTACTTATAGCTACTTGTGCCCTCTATATAGCAAACGACACCTAATCGGTGCCTGTTGGTCCCTCGTGATCCCCTTTTTTCTTATGTTAATTGAGAACTGATTTGATGAGATAACCACCTGTCACTCACCTTGCAGGGAGGTCTAATCCCCCTGGCCAAACTAGTACAGATGGGATTTAAAGCTTATCAATTCTAGTATTGTATGATCGAAAACTGAATAAAATTGTTAGTGGCATACATGTACTTTTTCATATCTAAATCATCAAGTCAGCAATAGTGATGTAATAAATATCTAGGCAAAATATAGGTGACTGCTCTGCTTCCAGTAGCAACAAAAGTTCCTTCATTTATTTCTTGTTATGCACTAACGTCACTTTGTGGTGTCCATCTTCTCAGGGTCCCTTACCTCTGAACACAGTGCTGCTAGGTGAGAGGGCATCCAAGTGCAGAGCCTATGCCAAGGCCTTGCATTACAAGGAGGAAGAGTTCCACCGAGGACCAAACACAGAGATCCTTGAAGCTCTCATCAGGTATGATACATCATCTTCATTTTCACCATCCTCAACGTCATTTTCACTCATAGCCATTTTCATCAAAGTAACTGATAAGCTTCAGATTCTCTGATGAAATCTGAATTGATTGATTATTCTTTTTACCGTTGGGCTACTTTTAAGTAAAGCTATATGTTTGTAATTGAAGGGAACCATTTACCTCAAAAGACAATAAATTTGTGTGCAGCTATAGCTGTTATTTTTATGCCTCCGCCACCGAAGGTGGTGCCGGAGGCATCATGTTTTCGGGTTGTCCGTCCGTACGTCCGTCCGTCCGTCCGTCCGTCCGTCCGTCCGTCCGTACGTCCGTCCGTCCGTCCGTACGTCCGTCCGTACGTCCGTCCCGTTTGACCGTTATCACAATATCTCAAGAACCATTTAAGATTTAAACTTAAGACTCGGGAATAGTATTTATCACCATAGGAAGACGATCTGATTAGATTTTGGAGTACGTAGGTCAAAGGTCACAGGTCACAGAGGTCAACTTATGAAATTCCTTGTATTGAGTTTGTTAGCGCGATATCTCAAGAACCATTTGAGATTTAAACTTCAAATTTAAGGATAGTATGTATCACCATAGGAAGACGATCTGATTAGATTTTGGAGCACGTATGTCAAAGGTCAAGGGTCACAGAGGTCAACTTATGAAATTCCATACATTGAGATTGTTATCATGATATCTCAAGAACCACTGGAGATTTAAACTTCAAACTTATTGATAGTGTGTATCACTATAGGAAAACAATCTGATTAGATTTTGGAGCACGTATGTCAAAGGTCAAGGGTCACAGAGGTCAACTTATGAAATTCCATACATTGAGATTGTTATCATGATATCTCAAGAACCACTGGAGATGTAAAAACTTCAAACTTAATGATAGTGTGTATCACCATAGGAAGACAATCTGATTAGATTTTGGAGCACGTAGGTCAAAGGTCAAAGGCCACAGCGCACATTATGAATGCAAAAACAGCTTGTGATCGCGTTATCTCAAGAACCGATTGATGGATTCATGCCAAAATTAGGTCATGTTTGTTACTTGCAGAGCCAATGAACTGAGTAGATTCTTGGTTCATAAGGTCAAAGGTCAAAGGTCATGGGCCCATTATGTATGCAAAAATAGCTTGTGAACGCATTCTCATTAGAACTGACAGATGGATTACTATTTAACTCAGAACATCTTGCAGAGCCAATGAACTGAGTAGATTTTATGGTCATGAGGTCAAAGATCAAAGGGTCATATATGTATATGAGAAATTGCTTGTAATCACAATATTCTGAGAACCTGTCAATGGATTACCATTGAACGTGAATTCAATTTTTTTTTTCTGTTTTGGTTTTTAAAATTGCTCTATAACGGAGGCATCATTTTCGACTGCGCGCAGTCGAATTCCATCTAGTTTAAGATTAGTTCTTAATTCTTAACTCATGAGATTAATTCTTAATGTTTAATTCTCCAAGTCTGTCAAATTGTGTTTTTGATCATCATATCAAACTGTTGTCCCATTAATGTCAGCAATACCATTTTAAAGTTTAATGTTAATTGATTTGATGTAATTTGTAATGCAATTTCTGTTTCCTTTACTTATCAACTATTTTCCTTCTAAACCGCTTAGGGGCACTATGCAATTTGCGGTTTAGAAATATCTTATTATTGTTATTATTGCAGTCGATATAATAATCTGTGCATCTGTATTTAATGTTACCAGTATTAACAACAAGCTACACCAATCTGAAGCAGCTACAGGGGTGCTACAGTATGCCATGAAGAACTACAGAGCTGAACTGGTAAGATTAATAAAATACATGAAATCAATTTTAAAGAGCCACTTGTAAAAGGGATCATGGAAAAAAAATAATTATATATACACTTCTTGTGATGTAATGGAAATGATGTGCTACAGTTATGTATAATACCCTAGTTTTCGTGGCAGGAGAATTCTGTCTTTTCTAAAGAAATAATTCTTATGGTGAGCATTGTATTGCTGTAGATATCTAAACAAATCAGTCGCAAGGCAAACAAAAAGCACTGCTTTCAACACTGTGCCAGAGAGAGTGCTTAAAGCATTCAAAGAGTGGTTTTAAAACTCTTGGGTTGAAGAAAGATAATTGTGGATGAATTTTCTTATCTGGGATTTAACGGTTAGATTTTTACCAGACATTGATAAAACTATGGGTTACATATCAGTAATGTATATCAAACTTTGACTGTTACAGCAAATCCAAGAGACATGGTATGAGAAGCTCCATGATTGGGACAACGCCCTGACGGCCTACGAGAAGAAACAGGACCAGTCTCCCGATGAGTTTGATCTGACCCTAGGTCGGATGAGATGCTTGGAGGCTCTGGGAGAATGGTAAGAATCTTCAGCTCTGATGCATTGTTTAAGGAATCGACTCTGTCTGTGGGACTTTTCATGCTTTTATAAGCGCCTGGTCTCACTTTGTTCTGCATCGATCTAGAAGAAAATATATTAATGTTTGATGTAATTTTGAAAATTTCTAGAAATTTTGTATATAAAAGAAAGACATTTATGACAAAAATATTTGAAATATTAATCTTATAAGGTGAAAAGAAATCATTTGAATGTAGTGTTTACAAATTATAATTTTCCAACTCTATCAAAAATGTTATCCTGATGGTGCAATATAATATCATGCAGCACACATTTTCCAAATACGACTAACCCAAAGTTATCTCAAGCTTGATATTATTTGTATTAAAAATGATTTTATATTAGATATACATAACTTAATACTTTACATGTATCTACACTTAAAAAATTGTCTCCCATGTATAAAATGTACGGTCTCTTGTCTTCTCTCAGGGGTCAACTGCACAACGTTGCCTGTGACCGATGGCCCCTGGTGCCTGATGAAGGTCGTCAGCGCATGGCCCGTATGGCTGCTGCAGCGGCCTGGGGACTGGGTGATTGGGACAGTATGGAGGAATACACATGCATCATACCAAGGGACACCTACGATGGAGCCTTCTATAGGGCTGTCCTGGCTGTTCATCAGGACCACTTTGGCCAGGCCCAGCAGGTTAGTAAGGAGTATACAGGAAATTTGGATGTGTCTTTGAGTTTGATCTTTGTTTAAGAACATAAAAAGGCATAGTGTATCTGTGAATTTAAACGATGAGGGACCTGTGGTTTAGCCGTAGCCCCGTACATGTAGCTAAAAAGGTTGGGTCATTGTAGATCGATGAAGTCGACAAATTTGACTCCCTGATCCTAGAATTCAAATTTAAATAGGCCCTATACACACAAACACCACAATCTTTATCCAAAACCACCTGAAACATATGAAAGCCTGGGCCCCGTCTTACAAAGATTTTGCAATCGCAAGTTTGCAGTCTTGTATCTCTTATGTACATAGTTGCAATTAATATCAATCGCAAAGAAGTTGCCATTGATATCAACTCTTTGTAAGATGGGGCCCAGATATAAGGTTGCCGGTTACCAAGTTAATCTTTAAAATTGGAGAAAGGTTCTCACGATACATGTGTTCAACTTTCCTTACTTTGTTGCCTCTGCACTGCATTGACAAGGCCTGGGATTGTCTAGATACAGAATTGACGACCATGGCTTGAGAGAGTTACGACAGCATACAGATCCATGGTGTCAATCCAGATGCATGTACATGTAGGACGTGATAAAATTGTAATGTTCAATTTTCTTTTATTTCTGTACTTTCTTGCCTCCGCAGTGCATTGACAAGGCCAGGGATATCCTTGACACCGAGCTGACGGCCATGGCTGGAGAGAGTTACGACAGAGCGTACGGAGCCATGGTGTCCGTGCAGATGCTTTCGGAGCTGGAGGAAATCATCCAGTACAAGCTGGTCCCTGAGAGGCAGGATATCATTAAGGAGATGTGGTGGGACCGTCTACAGGTAAGATAACGTAATTTTAATAATGTGTATCATCTCCTGAGAGCCTAATGGCATTAATGCATGTACTGGATATACAGTTAATAGATGGATTATTCATGCTCCTTGTAAATTTGATTTTTTTTAAATAGTTTTTTTGTAACTCAAGAATGAAAGGTGGACTGGTTGAATACGTGCCTTCTTGAATACTTTTAGGTGCAAGCTTTAATATGTTACATTGCCAGGAAACATAAATAGGGATAATCGATTTTTCACAAACTTATAAAATTACAAAACTTGGTAAGGATATGAATGTTTTAGTTGTTAACTGTAGTTAATATCCTTATGGCTCTTAACAGACAATTTGTAATATAGAAGAGGAAAAATTGCAGTATTATTCAAGGGAATCCTGTGTAGTTTTCCATTAAAAAGTTTGAGATTGTAATCATGGGCAACAAAGACTCAGATTTTCAGAGGCTCTGTGTTTAACAGAAAACTTGTGTACATTTATTTTTTTCTGTGCATACATGATGTATCTGTATCTTTGAGAGCATTGACTTGAGATCGTCATTCATCTTTCCCTTCCTTGGTGAAATACATTCCTAGATATTAGAGAAACATTTTTGTCTGACTTGAAGAACTACCATTTAATTCTTTATTTTTCTTTTCCTCAGGGATGTCAGAGAAATGTTGAGGATTGGCAGAAGATAATCCAGGTGCGCTCCCTTGTGATCTCTCCTCATGAGGACCTACGGACATGGCTCAAGTATGCCAGTCTGTGTAGGAAGAGTGGCAGGATGGTGAGTGTGCATACTTCACGAAGGGGAATAGAATGGAGAGACAGAAGGGTTTTTGGACACATGCTCAGTCCCCCTTTGCACAAAGCTTCCCATTGATGGTAACTTTGCCATCAATGGTAACTACCATGGACACCTTGATTTTGATTGGTTGTTGAGCTCTGTTACCAAGGTAGTTGCCATTGATGGCAAAGTTAGGATCAATGGTAAGTTTTGTGCAACGGGGCCCTGGGCGGTTGATCAGCAGTCAATATCCCGCATTAGCCAATTTTGTTTTCAAGTTAAACCTAACTTCGCCACATTAAAGGATTCCTAGTCCCAGAGTAAACATTGTACCTAACCTTTACCCTTAATTCCTAATCCTAAGCCAAAGTCTCATCCTCACTCTAAACCTAACATGAAACCCAATTCCCAACCAAACCCTAATCCTTTATCTTCAATGAAATTATGCATGGAGAAATTTTGTATTATGCCCCTGTTTAAAAGAAGAGTTTTTGTGGTTCCCTTCAGTGTCAGGGTCACTTCAGTGTTTGAAGATGCTATTGATATCTAACTCAAAATCAGTGTTGAGGTAAATCACAACTCTGAAAGATGGCCTCTGGTATCCAGTACCGGTATCCAAAAAAATAAAAATATATCGGGTTAGGAAAGAAAAGAGGGAAGAAGGAAGAATGGCACGAATACACCTAAAGGTGTTGTGGTCTAGTGGATAAGTCACCCGATTACAGATCACTAGGTACGGGGTTCGAGTCCCAACGCGGCACTAATGTCCTATGGCAAGACATTAATCTACATTTGCCACTCTCCGCCCAGGTGTTAAATGGGTACCCGGTAGCATGCGAAAGTTCATGTGGTTGGAGTGGAGAAAGGTTCATTGTCTGTGAACATGCCTGAATCTGATGACCGGCGTAATAACATATCTGTAAAGTGCTTAGAGACATCATCGATGTAGTAAGCGCTATATAATATTATTATTATACTGAATTAATCATGTTTCATCTGGTATGTGCTTCTAGGTGCTGTCTCACAAGGTACTGGTGAATCTACTTGGAGCTGATCCGTCTCTCCAGGAAGCCACCCTCGAGTCCCTTGCCCCCCTCATCAAGGATCCAAGGGTCATCTTTGCTTACATCAAACACATGTGGAAGGATGGAATCAGGGTGAGTTGTAGTGGTGGTGGTGATGGTGTTGGTTGTGGTGGTGGTGTTGGTGGTGATAGTGGTGGTCATTGATGTTGGTGGGGGTGGTGATGATGATGGTGGTGGTGGTAAATGGTTGTGGTAGTTCTGATTCTCTTTGGGTATTGGTGGTGACTTGGTGATGACAATGGTGATGACAATGGTGGGGATATTGGTGGGGTGGTGGTGTTGATTGTGATGGTGGTGGTCGGGATGATGATGATGATGGTGGTGGGGGTTATGGTGTTGGTGGTGGTGGTGGTGGTGGTGGTGATGATGATGATGATGATGATGATGATGATGATGACGATGACGACGACGATGACGACGATGGTGGTGGTGGTATCGGTGGGGGTGATGGTGGTGGTGGTATTGGTGGGGTGGTGGTGATGATGTTGAAAACATTTGCACCCAACAAGGATTGTGGTGATGGTGGTACAGTCAAACCTGCTATAAAGACTACTTTTTCTTTGTTTCCCTTGAGCCGTCTTTATATACAGATTTCACTGTATTATAAGTAGTGACAGTGGTATAGATAGCATACGCAAACATGCGTTGTTCATGCCTTTTCATATTATTTCCATACCTTTTCATTTCCAATGTCCCCTTCCACCTTAACTGTGCAGCCTTTAGCCCTCTCTCAGCTGCACCAGTTTGTACAGACAACTCTCACCCAGCATCCAATGCTAACCCTACCCAATGGAGAAGAGAACCCAGACCTACACAAACTCCTTGGAAGGTAAGGACCCTGTTTTACGAAACTTGTTATCAATAACAAGTTACGATAACCGTTATAAGCTACTGAAATTGAGGCATTTGATTGGCTGAGAGCAACTTTGTCATAGAAATTTACCATTTGTTCTTGATAACAAGTTTTATGCAACAGAGTCCAGGGCCCGTATTCAATAAACTTCTTAAGCATGAAATTTAAGTACTTTTTCTTAAATTTTGGCTAAGAAAAAATCTTAGCCAAAATTCGTATTCTATAACAGCAATGGGGACTTAAGAAATTTGCCTTAAGATTAAGAAGGATTCTTAGATTTTATCTAAGAAAAAGGACTTAAGTAGCATGTCGTATTCTAATACAATCGAGATATCTAAGATAAGTAAGAAATCTACCCTATATTTAAGCATACTACGAGGATGCTTAAATGGGGCTTTGGCACCGGCAGCTCAGTGATGCTGCAAGCAACCGCTTCGGGTTTCAATCAAATGGAATAAAAACAATGCATGCAGCGCGAGCGCAGGTTATCAGTTGACCTATATAACAACGTAAGCTTCGCGTATACAGCGTCGACGGCGCAGCGCGCAGGAGCGCCATAGGCTCTGTGTACTTGTACTTAATGTTTGTTTGTACACAACTAAACGAGTAGTAGCATATGCATAACACTAAATCATGACATGGCTGTCGTATATAAAGAAACCGTCTCTTACTTTATTAGTCTTTGGCGCTAAAGTATGGAAACAGGGAATAATGTGCAATCAGCATAATATTAGGTGAGACAAAATTTGTTATAGTATGAGTCTGATAAAGGTTACATCTAGCCATTTGATTAATTTTAGGCCATCATAACAGTAGACGATGTAAAACAATGAAAGGGTAGCTCCAAATCCAATGCTAGCGCTGGTCGGCCGGCTAGCGACGGCGCTCCCTTCATACTCACAGACCCTGCGGCTGCGACATAATAAGTAAGCCCGGTTGGGCTCCTCGGAGTTGTTTGACAGAAAAGTATAAAAAGCCTACAGTGGATGTTAGATCTAGCCTCAGGGGGATCTTGACTAGACTGTTTTAGTGTCAGTTGGTCAATCCCGAAATAATTATGTGAGCATCGTTCCTCCCTTACGCTCTCCCATACATGTTTGTGTATAATTTTCGTGCGGTGCGATTTTTATTTTAACACGCAAATTACATAGGCAAATTAGTTGCAATTAATTCGCTCGAGTCGACCACATCAACTTTCCCACATGACGTCATCGGGTCTAAGAATTTGTCTTATCTTTCGTCTTAGCTATGACAAACTGCTTTACGTGTTTAGAATACGGCTAAGGCAACTTTCTTAACCTAGACAAATTCTTAGACATTTTCTTAGACTTAAGAAAAATGTCTCAGAAGTTTATTGAATACGGGCCCAGATCTTTGTTCTTGATAAGGGCCCTGTTTCCTAAAACTTGTTATGAACAACAAGTTACGATAACTGTTATAAGGTACATGTACTGAAATCGTGGTATTTGATTGGCTGAGTGCAACTTTGTCATAGAAATTTAGCATTTGTTCTTGATAACAAATTTTATGAAACAGGGCTCAGATCGTTCTTTACACCATAATGCTCTGAATAACATGGGCAGAGGAACAAATGAAAGAAAATTTTGATTTACATACATGTAGTGCCTCCATAAATAGGAACAACGAATATCTTATTTTTATGTATGTACGTCCGTACGTCCGTCCGTCCGTACGTCGCGTTCTCGTGATCGCGTTATCTGAAGAACCGATTGATGGATTCCTGCCAAACTTAGGTCATGTATGTAGCGGCTCATTATGCATGCAAAAAAGCTTGTGATCGCATTATCATTAGAACAGATTGATGGATTCCTCCCAAACTTAGATCATGTATGTATCTTGCAGAGCCAATGAACTGAGTAGATTCTTGGGTCATGAGGTCAAAGGTCAAAGGTCATGGGCTCATTATGTATGCAAAAATAGCTTGTGAACGCATTCTCATTAGAACTGACAGATGGATTACTATTTAACTCGGGACATCTTGCAGAGCCAATGAACTGAGTAGATGTTAGGGTCATGTGGTCAAAGATCAAAGGGTCATACATGTATATGTATATGAGAAATTGCTTGTAATCACGATATTCTGAGAACCTGTTAATGGATTACAATTGAACTTGAATTTGAACAATTTCTTCTGTTTTGGTTTGTAAAATTGCTCTATGACGGAGGCATCATTTCGACTGCGCGCAGTCGAAGTTCCATCTAGTTTTGTGGTGATATCTGGTGTATAAAAACAAAAAAAACAAAAACAAAAACAAATAATCTATGATATGTTATGTATGTATTTACATTTTGTTCAATATCCTCTGTATTTGTACAGGGCCTCTCAGAATAACAATTTTAATACTGATAAAGTTACCCTGTTAAATAAGTTGAATAAATGAATAAAAAATAAAGAAAATGAGATTGAAGAAATCATTAAATTCTCTAAATTGGCAACAAGGGGGTGGAAGTGAAAGAATATTTCCATGTCAAATTTCAGATGTCTTTGGGTTTCATTTTGTATTTTCCATCCACATAGGCTTATTTAACCCATTGCCTACTGGAACCGGTAGCCTCTGTATTAAGCCTATGGCAACGAATGAATTAAGTAGTCAACAGGTCAATACACATTCTGATTTGTCTTCGAGAATGTGAAAATGAAAGATAAGTACAATCGGTGCCAATTTGAGGAGTCGAAGTCCCACCGCGGCACTAATGTCCTTTGGCAAGACATTGATCGCCATTTGCCACTCTCCACCCAGGTGTTAAATGGGTACCCGGTAGGATGCGAAAGCTAATGTGGTTAGATTAGCAAGTGTGCGCTTGTAAAAAAAAGACGCCTGGCTGGAATGCTCCCCAGGGAGTGGAGAATGTGCATACATTGTGTGCGGGTAAGCCTGAATCCTATGACCGGGGTAATAATATATATATCTGTAAAGCGCTTTGAGAGGGCCTTCGGTCCTGAAAAGTGCTATATAAGAACTAGCTATTATTATTAATTCATTCACATCACTGTAAAAAATGTCTGTACATATCTTACAGATCTTACCTAGCCTCATGAGGGTTAATACCCATTTTTCAGTAGTCTTAGAGAATGTGAGAGTGAAAGATAAGTATAATTGTTGCCAATTTAAGGAGGCAAAGCTGATTCATTTACACCTCTGGATAATATAGATGCTACCTGAAGCTAGGTGAATGGCAGCAGAGCTTGGAAGGTCTGAACCAACACACGGTAGAGCAGATCCTGGGCTACTTCAGGCAGGCTACGGAACACGACAGAGACTGGTATAAGGTGGGTTCTTCACTTAGGAAAGTTCTCTTGAATCTCCAAAGTCTTGCATTGAATGTAGAGGTGTTTATCTAAGTCATTCATACAGAGATTTATACTGAAATGGTCCTTGATTCCTCTGCAAAGAAGGCAGTCCATATTTAACTAGGGCAGTTCTGGTATCAGTTCAGTCATCTCAAAATACATTCAAACTTGTTTAATGATCTCATCTAAACAAAGACCACCTATCTTTCGGATCATATATTCTATTTCATGTGAGCAGTGTTGCTTATTGAAATTTAGTTAAAGAACCTGGACATTTACATAGGGGATCGTTCGTTTACTGCCTGTGCATCGAGATTGTGAAATGGTCTTCCCCAAATCCTTCGCTCTTGTCACCAGTTATCCACTTTCAGAACTCAACTAAAGACATACCTATTTCAGATTGCCTACAATTAGTCATTGCTTTTTTGTCTTTCCCAGTTAGAATCATGAACAGACATTTTGGGTAGTTTTTCAGTCTCATCAGCACCATTGATTAGGCAACTAGATATTAGCGCTGTATAAATACCTGGATTGGATTAGATTGCAAAGACAACCTTCCTTGTCTCCTTTGAGTGGCCTTTATATACAGGTTTTAATGTTATGTATAACAATGTTTCTGTACTTCTTATCCTCTAGGCATGGCATTCCTGGGCCTTCATGAACTACGAGTCTGTCCTCTACTATAAGCAGCAGAGTGTACAAGCTACCACCACCACCCCCACCACCACTACCACGCCCTCCACACCGACCACACCCGCCGACGCCACCACAGCCTCCTCACCCGTAACCGATCAGGGGCTCCCTTCCCCATCCCCCGCTACACCGGTCTCCCCGGGCGTCGTTGGCACCTGCCAGGCGGGTGACGTGGGCGGGGAAGGGGAGGGTCCGAGCACCCCTGGGTTGGGAGCGGGTGAAGGGGACATCATTGGGGCAGAAGCAACCACGCCTTCCTCCACCTCCCCCTCCTCCCAGCAGCCACAGGTGAGTAGCTGCTTATGGTTATGAGTTAACTCGTTGACTACTGAATTCCCTTATTCCCATAGGCTTAATACAGGGAACACTTGGTTCCTGTAGGCAATGGGGTAAGAATTATCAAATATTTAAATTTGTATAAGTATAAAAGTGACCAATCACCAAAAAGCCTCTACATCTTTTTGGTTCTTTGCCAAAATATATGCATTAAAAGTTTGATTTAAACATTAGTTCTGTATAGTTTTTGCAAGTTTCATACTCTCTAGATAAAGTAAAAATGACCATTGAGATGATATACATATCAAATATGACTATCACACACATGAAAATTACATTTCTTTCTGAGTAACCTTTGTGTTTACCTTTAGAGGGGGCTTTTTTATATAAATCTTTTTCCCTCCTGTACTCTTTAATTCTTAACATTTCTCGTTTGAGTAATATACAGATGACTTTTTGTTGTGATCGGTCCCCCCATTTGATGATTGTTTAAAAAAGCACTGAAAATGACCATCATTGCATATTTTCATAAATACAGTCAAACCTGTCTACAGCGACTGCCCAATGGAAACACAAAAAGTGGTCTTTGAAGATAGGTGTTCTTTGTAGACAGGTTCCTTTAGTCAATGTTTCAATGAAAAACCATTTTTCAAGGGAAACATCAAATGTGGTCTCTGTAGACAGGTGGTCACTAAAGCAGGTTTGACCGTATGAACATCAGATGCAACAATCTAATGCTGTTGCCAATATTAAAGTATTACATAATCTAAGGTACTAAATATGTGTCTTTGTCTTCCAGAGCGACTATGTCCAGAAGTACGCGGTTCCAGCGGTGCACGGTTTCGTGCGGTCAATCTCCCTGTCCAGCGATAACTCCCTCCAGGACACCCTGAGGCTGCTGACCCTGTGGTTTGATTACGGCCAGTGGACAGAGGTCTATGAGGCGCTGACCGAAGGGATCAAGACCCTACAGATCGACACATGGTTACAGGTAAGATGACTGGATGGTTGATGGTGATGATGATAGTTGTGGTGGTTAATTTTGGTTGGTGGTGGTATTGAGGATAGTGATGGTGGTGGTGTTGGTGTTAGTGGTGGTGATAAAGATGGTGATGATGATAGTAGTCACTTATGATGATAATGATTGAATATTGGATATGGTGTTGGTAGTAGTAGTAGTAGTGTTGGTGGTAGTAGTAGTAGTGTTGGTGATGATGGTGGTGGTGATGGTGATGGTATTAATAGTGACTGTTACTGGTAGTGATAATCCCATCCAATACGCATTGTGTGTGACCGATGCATAGATTGTACTACCCAATCTCTCTCTCTTATTGGTCGTTTTGAATTTGCCATGTGTCACCACAACGGGTACATGGTCTGAATACTCATCATGTAATAGAAATTGTGGACAATTTGTCAGCGACTGAAGATTTTTAGTAAAAAGTGCTACGTGAATCCAGATTATTAGTATCCTTTCAATTAGAAGAATCATGATTGAAGCTCAACTTTTTAAAATAAAGATGAGCCTTTATGTTCTGTGAATACTTGGAAATTTCATCGGGAGAATACTCATGTTCTACTCAAAAGAATACTAAACTTCCTATTTAAAGTTGGCAGTGTCGATGATAAGTTTGATGATAAGTTTGATGATATATAGGCCATAGACCCAGTTCTGAAATAAACTGATCATACATGTAGTTAATGTATGAAAATGAGTCACGACTGAAACTAGGATTTGATTGGCTAGTGATAGAGAGTTATGATTGATGCTATAAATTGCATTAGTCCAAGTCTTGTAGTGTAGAGGCCATTGCCAAGTTTTGGTATCCATTGTCAGTTAAAGTAAATTTTTGATGCTCTCTTTAAAAAAATTCGCACAGAATTTACAGTGTTTCAAAAACAAAATTAAAAAGAGAAGCATCTGTAGCGAGGCATTTTATTGTCTTGGAACCTGGGCAGCATTTCATGAAATCGTCATAAGTACAATTTCACCGACATCCCATTGAAACCTGTGTTAAACTACACATGTTTCAATGGGATGTCGGTGAACTTGTACTTATGAGGGTTTCATGGGACGCTGCCCTGGACGTTTTCTCATTCTCTATGTTCTCATGCTGAATGTTTCGCTGAAGTAGTGAGGGTGTGAAGTAGTTTGTTTGATGTTTGAAGGTTGCCTTTTGCATATAACATTGAATGTTTACTTTTTCATTAAAAAAAGAAAAAAGAAAAGAAAGGAAAAGGTAAACATACTGCAGTGGAATGCCTCAAGGATGCAAATGTTGTATGCGCCCATTCTCCTCAAAGTTCAACCCAATTCTTGATTTTTGTTTGGTTTTTAAATTATACAAATCAATTAAGACCGAGATAAAACCAAGCATCAGTATATACACTAGGTATTCAGCCGAGGATGATCCATAAGCTTTGACTAGTGTTAAAGCCTATCTGCACTAGTTTTGCCAGAAGGGATTAGACCTCCCTGCATGGTCACTGACAGGTAGTTATCTCATTAAATCAGCTTTCAATTAACATAAGTAAAACGGGACCATGTGGGACCAATGGACGCTGCTTAGGCATTGTTTGCTATATAGAGGGCGCAAGTAGCTATAAGTAGTGCAGTGGGGATTTAAAAGCCTTTTCTTTTTAGATAACAGCGAGAGCATGAGAGCAAGAGTTGTCTCTGTCATCTTGTATTTGGCAGGGTACCAATAGTACAACTTGGATCATGTTCGCTCATGACACGTCATGTTATTTTTGATGCACACAAGGGATAATTCATGCTGAAGTGGAGTTCACTGTGGATTAAAGGCTAGCATTCCTAGAATGTCAATTTGATTGGTATTGAAACATCAAGCTGAAGTGTGAACAAGAAAGAAAGGGATGAATAAGTTTGGTGTATGGCCTTAAATGATATTCAGCGAAACCCCTGAAAGTGTGAGCTGAAATTATGAGTAACCATCTCGTAACCACAGCAACATTAGGCATTTCCAAGTAAATACATGTACACGTATGCACAGTCGCTCAGGAAAGCACAACAGACTTTCAAACAGTCCTACTGCGCAACCTATTTTGAGGCAATGCCGTATCATACTTAATATAGGAACACCTTACATCAAGAGACAAGAGCAAAACATGTTTTGGGTATTGGTACACTCGACTGATAATAGTGGGTTCTTTTATCTACAGTCTGCAGTGAGTGTCTGTCAGACCTGACACTCTAGGCGCTACACTTTTATTACCTGGCCTGGTGCCTGCGAGTTTTACACAAAAAACAAATAGGATTTCAGCATGATGATGGTGAATACATGTACCTTAATAGGCTTTCTTTAACCCTTTTATGAGGACGGTTAATTTTAAATTGGTCATAAAATCTGTTGTCTGCATACCTCTGTACCTTCTACAATATACCAACATTGGGTTTTTCGAATAAATGCCTGAAAATAAATCAATCCTCCCCCTTTCCCCAAAAGGCATATACATGTATGGGACTGTGCAAACATGAGGCTTCTTTTCACTCAGCGAAAACAGTGATTTCATTCATTCATTCACTATTTCATAGGATTTGAGCGGGTTCTTGGTGTATAGGGCACATTGTAGGGCTGATGATGTATTTGCTTTAGTAGAGACAGCTCAGGTTGTCAATTTAATGTTTCTTGATTGAGGAAACCTTTGAATTTTAAATTGGTCGTAAAATCTGTTGTCTGCATATCTCTGTAGTACTTTCTACCATATACCAACATTAGGTTTTCCAAATAAAATGCCTAAAAATAAATCAATCCTCCCCCTTCCCCCAAAAGGCGTACCGGGTAGACGGGACTGTGCAAACATGAAGCTTCTTTTCACTAGGAGAAAACAGTGATTTCATTCATTCATTCAAAGGATTTGAGCAGGTTTCTTGGGTGTATAGGGCTAATGATGTATTTGCTTTAGTAGAGACAGCTCAGGCTGTCAATTTAATGTTTCTTGATCGAGGAAACCTTTAAATTTTAAATTGGTCATAAAATCTGTTGTCTGCATACCTCTGTACTTTATACAATATAACCAGCATCGGGTTTTCCAAGTAAAATGCCTATAAATAAATCAATCCTCCCCCTTCCCCCCAAAAGGCATAGACGGGACTGTGTAAACATGAGGCTTCTTTTCACTCACAAAACAGTGATTTCATTCATTCATTCATTCATTATTTCAAAGGATTTGAGCAGGTTTGTGGGTGTATAGGGCGCACTGTAGGCTGATGATATTAGTAGTAAAGACAGCTTAGCCTGTCAATTTAATGTTTTTTGATCGAGGAAACCTTAGGACTTCAATGCATCCCTGTGCTTTGATGACTGGCACTGGAGTGTCTGGGAGGGCCCAAAATCTACGATGGAATTTTCTTCTATTATTTGTCTATATTGTGGAAAAAAGGATGTTCTCACAAACTTTTTTCTCAATATGAGTGCATATGAGTGGAAAATGTGCATACATTGTGTGCGGGTAAGCCTGAATCCGATGACCGGGATAATAATATATCTGTAAAGCGCTTAGGTACATCGTTGGATCGGTGTATTGAGCGCTATATAAAAAACCGGATTATTATTATTATTATTAACAAATAGAATAAAAGTATAATTAAAGATTTTATGGGGTCAGGGGGAGGGGGAGTAGAGGGGGAGGGAGAGGGGAGTTGAGTTGAAGGGAGGGGGACACATGTCATTGTTTATACACCCTGTAGGTGCTTGAGCCATTTGTTTTCTTGAAAAGTCTTGAAAATTTACGTGTACATCATTATGTCTCCAATTTTGTTAACGCTAACACAAACATGGAACAATGGGCTCAATTACCCCCATCAGCACATCAAGGCTCCATATTGTACAGAGGAATAGCAAAACATTTTAAGAAACCTTCAAGGATTAATTATCATTTGTGTAGAAAAGTCTACAGTAAATTGAGTCATTAAAAAAGTGTAAGAAAATTGAACAAAGTCCTTTTTTGATGAACTAAAATGGTGTCTCATTGACTGTCAAAAGGAAACCATATTCATCAAGGCCATGAAAAACTAAAAAATAGTTAGCAGATTGTTTAGTACAGTGTATGTATTAAAAGGAAGGACAAGATAGTTATTTCAGGTAGATTTAATCTTATTTAATTTAATCTCACATTCCGTTGTTTCGCCGGTATTTGCTTAGCAACCACTAACAAACACGACACAAAATCAACAACAAAAAACCACCTCTGGAGTGTAGTTTTTTAACGCCTGCCAAAGTTTCACAGATCTTTGCACACATGACTCTCCTTGCTCCCATGCTAATGCATACAGGGCGCATGCACACTACTCACCAAAAATTGATACGAGCAAACTCATTTTTTATGGGTTTTACCAGTAGCGTAAATGGAATACCAAAAAATCTATGATTTTTCAAAACGGTGAATACATTAGGGAGGTGTAAATGGGCCTACATGTATGTACAAGTATACATTGAGCCGATGTGTTGTTTTTGTGCTTGTACAGATCTGCGTAATTGACTTTGTGAAATGAGGCATTGTTATAATGCTGGCTCTTGATCTTTATGGAGAAAGAATTCCTTACTTATAAATTACAGTGAAGTTTAACTTAACACAGAAAGTGAATCCGGCCTACATAACTTCTATATGTGGCATTTAGTTATCTGTATGACTATGAGGTACACTGTAAATTGAACATTTTTATGGGAATTAAGGAATTTGGTTTGAAAGGGGTGGGGGGGGGGGGGTATTTTCTATTTATTATTTAACATAATTCATCATCATCTAATACGATTGCAGGGCCCTCAGGGAGAACAGTATCAAACTTGATATGGCTACCCTGAGTAAACGACATATTATTATTTTTATTATTATTATTCCATTATAATTACTTTTGACAAAGATTATATGCATTAAACAGAAATATAAAAAAAGTGAACAGGGACATTGGTAGGCTACATGACTACATAACTTCCAATGGATAATCAAATAAGACTTTGACCCACTATAATAAATTAATTGAAAGATTCAAATGGCCACAATTGAAGATTTGGCAAGCCCTTAATGACCAAATAAAAAAAGGCCTTAGCCCCAATTTTTACATAGCCCTGATGTGACAAAGGTTTGATTTAGGCTGTAATAGTTTTGTTGTGAAATTCAAAGTTAATTTGACCTCGAAAGAAAATCACAAATTTGTTACACAATAATACCCTGCAGAGACCAATTAGTGTTAAGTCTTCTTTGACCAGTCGTGATTCATCTAATTAGAAAAGGGTCTCGTTTGCCAGTTTGCCTGTGGCCCTAAGATGACAATAGCAAGATATAAGCTCTAATTGATTCAGAATTCAAATTGAATTTGACTTCTAGAGTTTTTTATTACTTGGTTACCTGTTAAACCCTAATAGCAAGGTGTCTATGGCCAGGGATGAGCCAATTTGATAGAGAAAGGATGTATACTAACCTAAACCTATAGTTTGTGTATGGCCCTGATACGACAAAAGTGTGATTTAGGTTCTAATTGATAGGTCATGGAATTCAAAATGAATTTGATTTCAATAATATCTAAACAAAATCTCTTACCTAACCTATAACCACCTTAAAGGTAAAGACCAGTTTTGGAAACGCCCCCCTCTCAAAAAATGAAATGGAAGCTCTTTCACCAATCATGTGAAAGAATATGTTTTAACTAATACGTGATGATACAAATTTTGCCAAGAAACTGCCTACTAATTGATATTTTTGGTAAATTATTATATCTATTTGGACCTGATTGATATCGCGCACGTGTCGCATAGTCCCATATATATCTTTCTGTATACAGTGCTTGTAACTTTACCAAGACTGGGCCAAATTTCTTATCATTTTGATGATTCCAGAACCTTGCAGTACACACCAATACTTATATGCTAGATGATTAACCTTTTATAATCGATTCCACAACGTTTCTTTCTCAATGTAATGACCATTACTGGTCTTCATCTACAAATGTCAAAGACCCTTGTTGCAAGACACCTGTGGCCTGCGGATGTTATTATTGCATGGCCCTGATATGACGAAGAATTTTAAGTGTTAACTTGTGACTAATTGATCGGTCATTAAATTAAATTCAAAGGCAAATTGCAATCTCACCTGACAATACAGCTTTGGCATTACAGCTACAAATGTATGGCTAGCCTTCATTAACCAAATACGAAGAAAACATCAATCAGTATTGTCCTGGTGTCTATTAATTTTAAATGTTTACTTGAGCGACTGAAAAATCTATTAGGCATGAACTTCAAAGTTAATTTGACTTTGTTGAAATATAGTGATTTATTACAAGGCAAGACAGCTATAGATAGCCCTAAATATATAATACAGTCAAACCTGTCTTAGTGGCCACCTCCCTATAAAGGCCACATGTCTATAGTGAACATGTATTAAATCTCCCTGGAGAGGAAAGGTGTGTTTTAGAACCTGTCTACAAAGGCCACCTGTTTCTAGTGTCCATGCTTTTTCTGTTTCCCTTGGATGACTTCAATGCACAGGTTTGACTGTACAAAGTTCATTCTTCAAATACAAAACTTGTGTATAGTTTGTTGGCCTGAGGAGTGTTTCACAAAGACTAAGATCGACTTTAAGTTGGACTTAACTATGGCAGGCCACTGTTTGCTCTCACTATTTACTGGCATTGATCTCTCAAGGGACGTACATGTACAAATCATGGTCACAAATCTACAGAAGTTACATTTTTTAATAATTTGTTATTGAAGGAAAAAATAGTATCTAAAATAATGGTGAGAGCAACCAGTGGCATAAATGGCCTGCTATAGTTCAAGTCCAACATAAGTCGATCTTGGTCTTTGTGAAACACCTCCCTGGTATGACAAACAATTCTAAGTGTTTAATGACATATAAGTTATCAGTATTAAAATTCAAATTGAATACGACCTCCAAGATAAATCCTGATTTCTTACCTTTAAATGAAGCAAGTGACGCTTGGGGAAAGCTTTGGTTGTCCCGTTCGTTTGCTAGACATCGTCAGTTATCTCCAGAAATCAGTGCGTGTGCCAAGACAGGGTGTTTCCTCTTATTATCTCAATCCTCCGACTGACTTCATGAGATGGTTTATTTTAGTAGTTCTAAGGAAGGAAGGAGAAGATTGATTTGGGGAAATTTTGTGTAGCAACGTGGTACTTTTTCATGTCTTTCCCCCCTGATATCTGCATGTATTTCCTTGTTTCATGAAACCCCGCATGTTCATAAACATTCAGGAGTTATAAATGTACACATAGCTTGCATTTGGTTTGAAGTAGGGGATTTAAAAAATGATATGCAACATTATTCCACTACTTATGATTTCAAATCTTTTCTTTCTTAGACGTTATGCAATGACATCTTTAAATGTCGATTGAATGGAGCTGAAGTGGTGGAGAAAATCATTAAATTAAAAGATTTATCTGGAATTTTACCTGTTGGTCCAAGGGTGCCTAAGAGTGAAATGTCATTAAGAAGAATAAGATGGAGCGAATAAAATCATTTGAAAAGAACTTTATCAGTAGCAAATGAGTGATTACAAAGGAAAAGAAATCTCGAAAACTACACAAATGGAGGTCATTTCTAGTTTTGGGCCCCTGTCTTATGAATAAAGAGTTGCGATTGATCCAAATGAAGTCCTCTAATCACAAGTCCTCTAATCAATCGCAAGTTTGCTGTCTCCTATCTCTTATTGAATTGAATTTAATTTAATTTATATCAACATTTGCATTGAAAAGACAGAAACACAGTTAAATATACAAAAGTAAAAGTATAAAAAGTAAATGAACGTCAAATAAAGGCATACTAAGAAGATAAAAGGACAAATTTACACAAAATTATGTAAATACATGACATGTAGTTGCGATTAATATCAACTCTTTATAAGACGGGCCCAGGAATAGAGATATTTTCTAGTTCTGCTTGCACCTTATTGCCTCGATGTAGCACCTTGATGTAGCCTAACACAGTGAGTCAACCCTCGTCCTTCATCAGGCTAATAAGGCAGTTAATCAATGGAAGTGAAATCATTGTCAACACCAATCAAGTCTGATGATGTCCACATTACGCTCTGATTGATGTAGGCACCTCCGAGCCAATCCCTTAGGCACCTCCAAGCCGATCCCTTAGCTGTTAGGCATACTGCGTCAACACGTTTCAATCAGTTTGGCAGTACCAGTAGTACCACAAATACGAAATTCTCACTTTCCAAATCTTGTACATGATATTAGCCAATTTTGTTTTTATTCAAGAAGGGGGTGAGGGTGATGGGAGGGGGAGGGGGGGGGGTGTGATCTTGTTCAATAGGCCCCCAAATTTCAGAAAATCCATGATAGTGACCATAGGGGTAATGGGTGGGGGTGGGGTGGACGGGGCAACTCCCTGTATTTTTTGGGGGGCTCATTCTTTTATTTTGGTTTTTACTTTGCACATAGAGAGGCAGGGTTTTGATCGAACTCTGAAAATTTGCATTCATTAGGAATGCAAAGTGTTTTGAGTTAAAAACAAAATAATTGAAATATATTAAACGTCTTGAAGAAGATTTGTTTGCTTGCTTTTTTCCAAAAGAAATTAGGTATGGGAGTTCCTGGGATCTGAAACAGTTTCTGTAGCCTTTGATATAAATACATGTACATATATGTAATTCCTGTTTGAAATTTGTACTGATGACAACAAAAATCCCACCAAACATTTCATTCATATACTTTTCTCCAATTGCAGACGTTAAGTCTTGAATAATACAATTTGTTATTAAGGATCATCCTCTAAGCTTGTAATGTAAGCTGGATAGCAAGGAATAGGTCATTAAGACTCTCTAATCCATCGGCTTAATCAGAATTATCTGATTACTTATTCTAGTGCCTCCATAATGTATGCCCTAAAAGCCACAGACATTTCACCTATTTTAAGGATTACCAGGTATTACCAGGTAGTCCCAGACTCCAGACTAATATCACTTCAGAATTCAGATTTTCAGATTCACTTATCTCCAGAAATCCTCTTAGATATTGCTTAGGAAGTTATTTCCTCTTATAATTGGCGCTTTTTATCGCTCAGGATTCGGTCATATCTTTGCCGTCTGTCATTATTTTTGAGAAACTCTCGGTGATGGGATTGATTACCCGTGTCCCAAGGTACGGCTAGTTCCTAATTAGGGTGCGTCTTGCGCACACTCGCGTGATGTTAGTTAGATTTTTAACTATTAAAGACCCTATCCGATGAAAATACAACTTGATATAAATAGAAAACAATGAATGTAGAATAAAAAGTATTTACCCTTTCATTATTGTGCAAAAGCAAATTAAAACCTCATTTTCCGCACCCCTCTGACAGACACTCAAATGGCATATAATTGATTTTATTGTAATCTATGGCTTATAAGCTTTCCGTAGATAAATAATTCATCCATTTCATTTTTTAGTCGGATATGGTCTCTAAGGAACGAGAAGGGTAAATGTTGTATTTTGGTTTAATATTACAAAAATATCTTCTGTTAAATAGTGTGTAATATATTTGTAT